CGTTTTCAGCGCGCGGAGTCCACAGAGCGAGCTGAAATGTTACAGGTCGCGTGGACTTCGATGGAAGCGGACGTGAAGGGGCGCCAGGTTCTCGGATACCGTGACGAGCACAAGGTTGAGTTAATGCGCCGCGATGAGAGGAGCAAGCTCGGGAACGCAGCCTCTGGCGCGACTTTTGCGTATCATCCATTCATGAACCCGGCAAGTCGCCGCGCTGGTGGACAGGAGTTCGCGCTGTTGCTGCCTGATGTGCGGGATGGCAACCTCCGGGCAGCTTGCGAGGACCTCGCCAAGGTGTTCCACGTGAAACCCACGTTCAGGGACGCGGAGAGCGCCCTGAGGAAGCACGAGATAAAGCTTTGGGCCGGGGCCCACGCCAAATACAATCGAATCAGGTGGTACGGGTGCTGCAAATGCACCCCGCCAGCGGGCTCCCGACCGCGCGTCGGGCCCAAGTGGAGCCCGGCAAGGGTTTCCTTTGTCCCTCTTCTGCGTCGTGCCCCCCCCGCCCCATGTGGCCCCTCTCCCTCCCCCTCGCGTGTCCTCTTCCTCCTCGTTCGCTGCCCGCGTTGACCCTCCCCCCTCCTCCCTCTCCCTCGGTCAAAAGGATCGCGCAGGGCCGCCGCCCGCCCGCGCGCGGCACCTGCAGCTGCTTCCGGAACAAGGCTTCGTTTTTGATTCTCTTCTGGGAACCGTAGCGGAACATAGCCACCCGAACAGATACACCCGCGGCCCCGCGTCAGACGCGGGCCGCGCGGGCAGGTCGGCCCAATCCTTAGGGGGGGCGCCAGATATGAGATATTTGGGCGCGCTTGGCCCCGTCTTCCGTCTGCTGCGTGCCCCCGACGCAGTAATCCGGTAATCTTGTAGTCCCCCCCTCGCCCTCCCCCGCAAAGCGGATTGTTGTATTCCTGTCGTGTCCCCAAGGTTCATGCGGTGGTTGTTCAAGGCGGAGGGCCTGGACGTGCCTGTCGACGAGGAAGATTGGCCCCTGCTCGCTGGCATGGGGTCCGGGGCCGAAGAGGGATTGGACGACGCGGGAATTGATTCCTACGAATCGGCTGAGGTGGCCCGCGCAGCCTTGGCCGCTGTACTCGCAGCCCCTGGCGCGACGTCTCCGCAAGATGGCGTTGGTGCACCTCCCGAGTATATTTACGGACTCGACGACTTGGTTTGCTTCCTGTGCTTGTCCACAAACAAAGAAGCTGTTGCCCGCAAGGTGTTGCCGCCGCCAGCGCTCCCGGTGTCCGTCGTTGAGGATTTGGGGATGGCTGCCCCCGTCGCAGCCTCTGGCGCGACAGCGTGCCCTGGCGAGACTCGTTGTTATGCGAGAATCACAACGAAAGCCACCGCGAAGCCAGCCATCGTCTCCATCTTGGCGTGGGTGTCCCAAGACATTTTGCGATGGGTGCGCGCGCCCGCCGCGGGGGCACTGTGTCAATGTTGCCGAGCTTGGCACGCTGGAGGCTTATTTCTGGCTTGCGCGCTGTCTGAGAGGAGGCGGTGCGTCGCAGACTCTGTCGCGAGCATCTTGTCCTTCGATGCGAAACCCGCCCGGGCATTGCTTCGAGCAGGGGCTTCGAGGAGTGATATTCTCCGCGCCTGGGCGCGCGCGTGGGACTTGCTCGACGGGCTCCCCCCGCGTGCCTGTTTGGGCTTCGACGAACGATTGTTGTCCATGGCACTAGTCCGCATGGGCGTCAAGGAACACCTTCGGGGTGACGCGAAGGACGCGGTTGCCCAGATGTTCTTGGACGCAGGCGGGGAGCATTCGCTTGCGAGGGAAGCGTCGTTCGCAGAGGTGGAGAAAGGGCAGCTTGCAGAGATCGAGTGCCATGTGTTGATGTTGGCGCACAGCGATTCTGGCCTCTGGCGATAATTCGCAGCCTCTGGCGCGAACCAGCAGGGGGGGCGGCCGTTGGGGCGGCTGCTGGGGGGCGATCAGCATTGCCTGATCATGTCTGCTGCAATTGCGCGGGCTCGAGCAGCGGCGGCATGTGTAGGGCCGCTTTCAAGAGCTGGGCGTCGGCAAACGCAGCGCATGCTCGAACCTGCCAGGGAAAACTGAACCCGGTCAGTTTCTCACAGTGCTTGTTTCTTGCGTCGCACTTCTGCTGGATACGTTTATCGGAGACGGAGCGAGAAGCCATTTCTGCTATTATTATTACAACTATCACCACCACAATTACTACTAGTAGTACAATTGTTTCCGCTTCGCGAATCCCCGCCAGTCCATTCAGAAGCCCTTCCCATGAGAGCTGACGGGCAATGGAAAAAAGAAACACATATAGTGAAACAGAGCGGACAAGGAGAGGAGGGGGAGGAGGGTGTCGAGCCATCTTGGAGGCTATCTTGGAACACGGGAGGCTTTCTTGGAGCTATGGGGCACTTTTGGGGGTCTCAGGGATCTCTCGGCCCTCTTTTGGGGCATCTTGGGGCCCCCTTGGGGCTCTATGGGTCCTCTTGGGGCTCTTTTGGGGCATCTTGGGGCCCTCTTGGGTTTTTTTTTTTTGGGGGGGGGGGTCTTGGGGTCCTCTCGGGGCTCTTTTGGGGCATCTTGGGGCCCTCTTGGGGCTCTTTCGGGGTCTTGGGGCCCTCTTGGGGCTCTTTTGGGGCGTCTTGGGGCGGCGCTCCTGGGGCCTCCTTGGGGCTCTCTTGGGCCTCTCTTGGGGCCTTCTTGGGGGCTATGGAGCGCCTCCTGGGGCCATCTTGGAGGCCATCGATCAAAAAGGAGGGGGGTCCCCGATTTGTCTCCCCCCTTGGGGGGCCACCGGAATCGCATCTTGGGGCGCTCTTGGGGCCCTCTTGGGCCGCTCTTGGGCGCTATTGGGGCCGTCTGAGGGCCTCTTGGGCCGCTCTTGGAGCTCTCTTGGGCCATATTGGCGCCATCTTGAGGCCCCAAAAGCGCAGCGGAGGCGACAGGGCGAGAAGGCAAACATCATTGATTTTCTTCAGGTGTTTGAAGGAAATTGCTTTCTCGGGGAGGTCCTGACGGGTCTCCAAAAGCACCTGGGACCGTCTTGTGGTCCTCTTGGGGCCTCTTGGAGGCATGTTGTTAGCTATCTTGGGCCATGTTGGGCTGTCTCGACCGATATTGAAGGCCATCTTGGGCTCTCTGAGGCCCTCTTGGGGCCATCTTGGGCCGAAAAGGACCCCCTGACACATCGCGACCGCCCCCGTCCAAGTCCAGGGGAGGGGGTATGGGGGAGGGGTAAACCCCTCCCGAAGGGGAAAAGGGGGTTTTGGAAGAGGGAATAAAGATCTCGTTAGACCGCCTGTCGCCCAAAGGGATGGCGGGATTTCGAGTCCCAGCATTACTATCATGATTATTGTTTCTGCTATCAAATTTCACTGATCAAATGGTGACGCTATTGGCGTTTATACGATCACAAATGCATCCCCTACACCTCTATCATCCGCGCCGCTACTGCGATTGCAACTACTACAATTATTACGGCGGCGACGGCGACGGTGACGGCGACGACGACGGCGGCGCCGATGCTTATTGTGATGATTTTGGCCTTGGTGGACCGGTCAGCTACTACTACTACTACTACTACTACTACTACCACTACTACTACCACTACTACTACTACTACTACTACTACTACTACTACTACTACTACTACTACTACTACTACTACTACTACTACAACTACTACTACTACTACTACTTCAACTACTACTACTACTACTACTACTACTACTACTACTACTACTACTACTACTACTACGACTACGACTACGACTACTACTACTACTACTACTAGTACTACTACTACTACCACCACCACTACTACTACTAGACTACTACTACTGATACCACTACTACTACTACTACTACTACTACTACTACTACTACTACTACTACTACTACTACTACGACTTCTACTACTACTACTACTACTACTACTACTACTACTACTACTACTACTACTTATACTACTACTACTACTACTACTACTACTACTACTACTACTACTACTACTACTACTACTACTACTACTACTACTACTACTACTACTACTACTACTACTACTACTACTACTACTACTACTACTACTACTACTACTACTACTACTAACTTAAGACGCCATATGGCGAACCAGACAGAGCACGACTGATGAGAGGGGCGAAGGCGGAGGATGAGGATGAGGAGGAGGAGGAAGAGGAGGAGAAGGAGGAGGAAGAGGAGGACGTGGAGGAGGAGGAGGAGGAGGAGGAGGCATGACTAGGAGGAGGAGGAGGGAGGAGGAGGAGGAGGAGGAGGAGGAGGAGGAGGAGGAGGGAGGAGGAGAGGAGGAGGAGTGAGGAGGAGGAGGAGGAGGGAGGAGAGGAGGAGGAGGAGGAGGAGGAGGAGGAGGAGGAGGATGGGAGGGGGAGGCGGGGGGAGGGGGATGGAAAAGGGGGGGCGGGGCGGTGTGGGGGGGAAGGGGGCGGGGGGGAGGGGGGGTAGGAGGAGGAGGAGGAGAGGAGGAGGACGTGGAGGAGGAGGAATTGGAGGAGGAGGAGGAGGAGGAGGAAGCAGACGCAGAGAAACACTAGTTAGCCATTCTAAGACGAATGGTCGTATTGCGCAGAAGAACAAGTAATCATACGCATACGAAGAGCACGATGGAGCATACGCGGACTAATACGACTATTCAGACTACGACAACTATTATGAAGCGTACTGCTAATACTACTAAGGTACTAAAACGAATCTCAACACTAACGACCCTTGTCATGTTACGAGGAACGTTTAAGATTTATACTATGGCGAGCCAGAAAGAAAACGAACACTGATATTAGGCATGCAGGAGGGGGAGGAGGAGTTGGAGTTGGAGTTGGAGTTGGAGGAGGAGGAGGAGGAGGAGGAGGAGGAGGAGGAGGCAGGAGGAGGGAGGAGGAGGAGCAGGAGGAGCAGGAGGAGCAGGAGGAGCAGGAGGAGCAGGAGCAGGAGCAGGAGCAGGAGCAGGAGCAGGAGCAGGAGCAGGAGCAGGAGCAGGAGCAGGAGCAGGAGCAGGAGCAGAGGGAGCAGGAGGCGGGCGAGGGCAGCCCTCTCTGCACCCGCTCGCCGCCAGGATCCGCGTTCTCGGCGTTTTCCGTGGTGCCCTCCGCGGAGATCTCCGTCCGCCAGTTCGAGGCCCCCGCCGCCCCGCCGCCCCGCCGCCGCCCCGCCGCCGCCGCCGCCGCTGGGCGGCCTGGCCGGGACAGGGAAGCGCAGCGGGGCCTCGCCCCTCCTTGCGCTCTCCCTCCTCGTCCTCGCCTCGTCCCCCCTCCTCCTACCCTACCGTCCCCCCCCTCCTGCCTCTCTCTCTCTCTCCGTCCTCCCTGGCCGCCTTCCTCTGCTGGCTCCCCCTCCTCCCCGTCCACGCGGCCTCTCCGTCTTCCTCTCCCCGCCGCCCCCCAGGGTGGGGAGCGGCGACGAGGAGGCGAAGGATGGGAGGGGAGAGGGGAGGGACTAGGGAGAGGCAGGAGGGGTGGCGGGATGAGCAGGGGAGGAGGACCAACAGGAGAAGGGGGGAGGACGAGTAGCAGGAGGAGAGACAAAAGAGAGAGAAAGAGAGAGAGAGAGAGAAAGGAGGGTAGAGGGCGAGAGCATCCTCCCCCGTGCTCTCGAGCCCCGCCCACCGCCCCCTTTCCCCCTTGTCCTCCTCCTCCTCCTCATCCTCCTCCTCTGCCTCCTCCTCCTCCTCCTTCTCCTCCTCTTCATCCTCCTACTCCTTCTCCTCCTTTCCTCCTCCTCCTCCTCCTCCTCCTCCTCCTCCTCCTCCTCCTCCTCCTCCCCCTCCTTATCCACAATTACACAATATGAATACTACTCTCCTCTCTCTCCCCTGGTGACGTCCGGGAAATATCCGGCCCCCCTCCGCGTACTCGTTTTTTCCACGGAGAATTTCCGGGAAACGGGTTTCCGCTAGTTTTTTGTTCAAACTGCTGCTCTTGCTGCATCGTTGGCCTCATTTTCGGGCTATCGCTCGTTCCGAATCTTGCTGCCGCTGGAGCGCTGGCCTCATTTCCGCGCTTCCGCTTGTCCTGAATCGTGCTCCCGCTGCAGCGCTGGCGTCATCATTTCCAGCGCCATGCCACGGTATGGTTTTCGGTCCTTCAAATTGGCCCCAACATCTAGAAAATGCCTCACCGAAAAAAACATCGGAAGTGATTCCACATTGGGTGTCGATTCGTTGATTTCTGGGGACGCAGAAGCCCCCACCATTTGGGGCGTCGCCACGCCATGTTATGTCAGGCTACGCGTTGGTCTTCAACAGCATGCTATGCCATGTACTGCGATGCCATGCTGCGACATCCGACTGTGCGAATAGAGGGGATAATCTACGCCATGATAAGGGATGGGAGGGAGGGGTCGGACGTCAGATATGATGCGAGTGCGCCCGCCTAGTTTGCCCCTCCCCCCTCCCCCCCCTCCTCCCTCCTCCCCTCTCTCCTGCCTTCTGCCTCTTTCCTTCTGCCCCCACCCAACTCCTCATCATCCTCCTCCTCCTCCCTTCCCCTCCCCTCCTCCTCGTCCCCCCCATCTTCTTCTCCTCCTCCTCCTCCTCCTCCTCCTCCTCCTCCTCCTCCTCCTCCTCCTCCCTTTCCTCCTCCTCCTCCCTTCCCCCCGCCCCCACCCCCCCTCGCTCGGAGAGGCTGCCCGCCCCTCCAGACCCCCCAAATCGTGATTTTTTCCGGACGTCGTCCCCCAGAGTTCTGGACCCGTTCCCAGGGACCGGCCTCTCACCCTGAGCCGTTTTTCTCGACGGCCCCGAGGCCCGGCCAGGGCCCCCAGAGGCGGAACACAGGGCCCCCGTCGTGACTTTCTCATGACTTGAGGGGGTCTGGGCCCCCCCGGCGCACCCCTCGCGCAGGCGGACCGCCGACGCACCTACGACCACTGCGAGTCGGTGCGCCGGATCCTGCGGCGACCGCGCGAGGGCCCGCGCGTCGCCGACCGGGCGGCGAACTTGCGGGTGACCGACGCAGGCGGCGGCGCTCGCGCCCTCGGCGGGGGGAGGGGGTCAAGAGGAGGAGGAGGAGAGGAGGAGGAGGAGGATGAGGAGGAGGAGGAGGAGGAGGAGGAGGAGGAGGAGGAGGAGGAGGGGAGGAGGAGGAGAGGAGGAGGGGGTCATGAGGAGGAGGGGAGGAGAGGAGGAGGAGGAGGAGGCGGAGGCGGAGGCGGAGGAGGAGGAGAGGAGGAGGGAGGAGGAGGCGGAGCGGAGGAGGAGGGCGGAGGAGGAGGAGGAGGAGGAAGGAGGAGGAGGAGGCGGAGCGGAGGAGGAGGAGGCGGAGGCGGATGCGGATGCGGAGGAGGAGGAGGAGGAGGAGGAGGAGGAGGAGGAGGAGGCGGAGGCGGAGGCGGAGGCGGAGGCGGAGGCGGAGGAGGAGGAGGAGGAGGACCAGCATAAACCCAAGAGTCATCAACGATGTTGGAACAAACTCTACCTCCAAGCTCCCCCTTCCTAGGCCCCATAACGTTGCAGCACTTGCATTGAGGGACCTGCCCCAGTAGAAGACACTTGTTTGAAGACCCTGAAGCCTGCCAAAACATTGTTATCGGGATTCCAACGCCACGGATCAATCTGACTGTTGCGTCTTGACGGTCCTGAATCGTGCCGTAGCGCCGCTCCTGGGAGTTCAACTCCGCAAATCAACGTAATTGTTGCACCCACATAATCTTGAATCCTTCCAAACAACCATTTCTGGTACGTGAAACTCTTGCAACTGTTTAAAACGGAAGTGCGCGGCGCTGAGACGAGAGCCGCATTTTGAAAAGGGACCGCCCCCAATCCGTGAAACTCTTGCACATGTTTGAAACGAATGTGCGCGGCGTTCAGGCGAGAACCACATTTTGAAAACGGGTCGCCCTCCATTTGCCAAGCTTTAAACGAATATGCGCGGCGCTAAGGCGAGCCACATTTTGAAACCGACCCGCCCTCAATCCGTTAAATTATGCAACTGTTTAAAAAGAGTGTGCGTGGGGCTTAGGCGAGAGCCACATTTTGATAATTGGTCGCCCTTATTCCGTGAGCCTATGGCAATCTAAAATTCGAATGTACGAAAATAAAGGCGAACGCCGATTTTTGAAAGCCGGTCACCCTCAATCAGTGAAACTCGTGCAAATTTGTAAGACGAACGTGCGCGGCGCCAAGGGGAGAGCCACACTTTGAAAACGACCCGCCCTCTATCTGAGAAGCTGTTGCCAATGTGCAAGCTTCAGCAGCATCACATGGTGAGGAAGTCTTAGGCGAAGCGCCCGGCCCGCTGAGATGCGCCGACGTGGCAAGCAGAGATGCAACCTCGCCACACATCGCGACAGGAGCCCCAGGCCCCATCTTCCCAGACCCCCTCGGGTCATGAGAGAATGAGGACGGGAGGTTTCTCGCCCCTTTCGGCCCATGGGGGCCCTCGCCGTGCCTCTGGGCCGTCAAGCAGCGACGCGGGACGAGAAGCCGGTCCCGGGTGCATGGGTCCAGACATCGTGGGGTCAGCGTCGTGAAAAACACAGGACGTCGGGGGTCGGGGTTTTGCTGCGCCATGTCTCGAGCCGGATCGACGTGTGAGGGCCCTGGGGCCCGAGATGGAGCGACATCGCCCGTGGTGGAACATTTGCAGCGCCAGGGTCTCAGGGCGGAGGGGGAGGAGGGGGAGGAGGGAGGAGGAGGAGGAGGAGGAGGAGGAGGAGGAGGAGGAGGAGGAGGAGGAGGAGAGGAGGAGGAGGAGGCGAGGAGGAGGAGGAGGAGGAGGAGGAGGAAGGAGGGGGAGGAGGAGGAGGAGGAGGAGGAGGAGGGAGGAGGGAGGAGGGGGAGGAGGAGAGGAGGGGAGGAGGAGGGAGGAAGGAGGAGGAGGAGGAGGAGGAGGATGAGAGAAGGAGGAGGAAGGAGGAGGAGGCGGGGGGGGGAGGAGGAGGGGAGGGGGAGGAGGAGGAGGAGGAGGAGGAGGAGGAGGCGGAGGAGGAGGAGGAGGAGGGAGGAGGAGGAGGAGGAGTTCAGGACGGAGGAGGACCGAGGAGGAGGCCCGGCTACTGGAGAGCCGCGCTCTCGGCGTGCGGGCGGGATGCCGCGCGGGAGGGCGCGCGCGGAGGGCGGGCGCAGCGCCCGCGGGCAGGGCGCGCCGGCCCCCGCCGCGAGGCCTCGGGGTGTTCACCGTGGGCGATTGCGCCCCGCGGCTGTTCGGGATGCTGCGGTTCGCGGTGGCGCTCTGGAGCCCCCCCCCCCTCCTCCTCCCTCTCCTCCTCCTCATCTCTCCTCCCCTCCTCCCTCCTCCTCATCCTCCTCCTCCTCCTCCTCCTCCTCCTCCTCCTCCTCCTCCTCCTCCTCTCCTCCCCGCCCCCCTCTTCCTCCTCCTCCTCCTCCTCCTCCTCCTCCTCCTCCTTCTTCCCCTTCCTCCCCTCATGTAGCCTGGCTTCCTCCCACCTTCCTCGGGACTCCCCCCTCCTCCTCCACCCCCCCCCTCCTCCGCCCCCCTCCTCCTCCGCGGCGCCAGCGGCGGCGGGCGGGGGCGGGCCTGCCGCCCGCTCGCTGCTCGCCCGCCGCGCTGCGCTGCGCGGCCCCTTCCCCGCCCCCGCGCGCCGCCTCCTGGTGCCTGCGGGGGCAACGATACGGGGGGGATGGGCGTAGAGTCGGGGCCCTGAAGAAGGAACCCTTTTCGTTGGGGAGGGGCTCCGCGTTCCTTATAAGTGTTGCGCAGCTTGCCTCAGGTCTTCCTTGTGTTTTCGGCCGGAAATCGAAGGTTAACTCATGGAAAAAAGGGGCCTCGTTCCTTATTTTAGGTTCCTTAGGTCAACGCCCCGACTGAAGGGGGGGTGCATCGGCCCCCAATCGTGCATTGATCGCCGATAGGGGCCCGATAGCCCCAACCCGCCCACGGGGGTGCGGACGCACTATCGTGGAGCTATCGCCGACCTATCGGCGACGTGCCGCCGATTCCAGGTTGATGCACCCCACCCCGGCCTCGCCAGGCTCAAGTCGGGCACGTCCCTGTGCAGGAGGGATATTCAAGAATGGTCGAAAAGCAGTCTCTGGGGACGACTGTTCTATCATTTTCGACTCTGTTTGAACATGTTCTACACATTCTCAAAGTTTCCTCCAACATCCGCCTGTAGGAGGACATGCCCTCCCTACCTAAGCGTGCGTACGCCGCACCGCCGACCCCCGACGTCGCAGTGCAGGTCCGAGCTCGTTCTGCAGGATTCGTCTCGTCGTCTTCGTGGGCTGTCTTGGACAGCTCCGGGGGGGGTCCTGAGGGACCTCAAAAATAGTCTAGGCCTCTTAGGTGGGGTCCGAGCAGATGGGGTCGGAGGATCGCGCCGCCTCGCCGATGCATCGACGATGCGGCTCGATGCGGAGCCCGTGCCTCCCCACGCCGACGTCGCCGATGCATCGCCGATTCATCGCCGATGCATCGCCGATTCATCGCCGATGCATCGCCGATACATCGGCGATGCATTGGCGAGGCAGGGCGTGTCTTCGACCCCATCTACTCGGACCCCATCCAGGAGGCCTCTGAAAAGACTGAGGATCGGGAGGAGTCCTGTGGAGTCGGGGGGGGGGGTCCCGAGGAGTGTGGGAGTCGAGCTGCGCGCCGAGGCGCTTTTGACGGGGTCGGCGCATGTTGGGGTCGGCCCCGCGACTGTGGAGACCCATGCCAAGAAAACACCCTGCCCGCCTCCAGGGTGCCGTGGGCTTCTGGGGTCACGATGGCTCTGCGACGGAGAGCGTGACGTCTCCACGCCATCAATCAGTGCGCGCTCTGAGCTCTCAGGATTGGTTCTCTTGTGGAAGGCTTTTTTGTGGTCGAGCTCCTACCCATCGGTCGTTGAAAGTAGGTATTTTTGGATTCCCAGATTCCAATCTACTTTCAGCGCCTTCCTACTTCAAGAGTCGAGTGGTTTTCCTTCTTCCCTCCTCTTCAGGAGGAGGGCGGAGTCCCAATCAATTCCCAACGCCTTCCTACTTCATGTTTCTACCTGCTTCTTCCGACCGATGGGTACTGTTACCTCTCACTGCTCCTTCTCTTCCTTCGGCGAGCTCCGTTGGGGATCCCTGCGGCCCTCTGTGGCAGCCCCCTTTGGGGGTCTCGTGGGTGCTGCTCGACACGAGCGATGGGGGCGAGCGCGAGCCACGCGGAGAGCACCTGGGGCCGTCCTGGAGAGCGTTTGCGGGCATGCCGAGGCTGTCGGAGACGGCCGGAGCAGTTTCCGGAGCGAGCGTTAAGTCGGGCTCGTCCCTCTACAGGAGGAGTCTCCGAGAATTCAAAGAGATGATCAGGGGGCGCCTTTCCGATTGTGTTTGGCTATGTTCGAGCATGTTTTGACCGTTTTGAATTTTTCTTTCCAAATCTGCCTGTAGGAGGACATGCCCGACCTGAAGCGAGTGCTCCACCCCTCACCGAGCGCTTTCCACTACGCGCAGAGGGCCTACTCGCAAACGTCTGAGACAGCACACGTCTTCCCCGAGGCAATTCGTGGATCGTAAACCCCGCGCGGCGGATCCAGGCCAGCTGCGAGCAACCAGCTACCTGGCGAGCAGTGGAGCGCGCTTGTTTCTTCTCCCCGCCCCGCGGGACCCCTGGCCCCCCCGAGGACACCCCCTCGCCCCCGCCCTGGGGGCCGTCCTGGAGCTCCCTGGGGCCGCGCTGGGCTGCTCCTGGGCTGCGCTCTGGGGCGCCGCCTCGGCGCCTTTTTTGGGGGCCGTCGTGCCGTGGTCGTGACGGCCTCGCCTCGTGGGCCGTCGTGGAGCGTCGCGGAGTCGCAGGGGCGAGAGCACCAGAAGCGGTGGAAAGCCTACTGGGAATCAATGATGTCTGTTTCGCCGAGCTCTGCTGGGAATCCTCGTGACCCTCTGTGGGAGCCCCTCTGGGGGTCTCGTGGGTGGCGTTGACTACGCGCGGAGGGCCCCCGGGGCCGTCCTGGAGTGTCTGCGGTCGGAGACGGGCCAGAATCATTTCTGGAGCGGATGACCCCCTCGGCCGCATCCTGACCCCCCACGGGGACGCCGCCCCCCTCGAAACCGACCGGACCGGGCTCCCGGGGGAGGGGGAGGGGGAGTGGCATTTGTCTCACGCGCCGAGGATCCCCCAAGGGGTCGGAGGATTTTGTTTGCACGACGCGAGCATGTCTGGGACCACACTCGGACGGGGTGAGGACGAGGACAAATCCGTTCCAGAGCGTTCTGGAACGCTCTCAGAGCGATCTGGAAAAAACTCTGAGAAGGCCGCGGCGCCCGACACATCCTCTGGAGCTGCCGGATCTCTGAGATTCTCGGTTTCTCATCACCCGATGCCATCCTCGCCCCGGCTTCGTCTTGCGCACCCCGCTCCACCCCGCCGCGGGGGTTGGCTCCACGTTCTCCGCGGCGGGCCCGCTCGCAGAGCGCTCGGCGCGCTGCCGCACGCGTCGCGCCTCTCGTTCGGCCATGCGCAGAGCGGCGTATGGGAGAGGGGGGGAGGCCTCTTAGAAACACCCCTGCTTCTCAGAAGGCGCGGGCACGGCTGGCGCCTTCTAAGAAGCAGCCTCTGTCCAAGACGCCTTTCCCCCTTCCCCTACCCCCTTGGGCGGGCGACGGCGACGGCCACGGCGAAGGCGACGGCGACGGCGACGGCGACGGCGACGGCGGCGACGACCTGGCCGCACACTTCGCCCCCGTGTGGCAACAAGGTGCGACGGCGCTTCCGTGCGGCGGCGCGACACGCCAGCGTGTCGCGCCGCCGGCTTCTGCCCACCACGCCTCGGCGCGGCACGCTGCCCACTTCCTGGTCCCCCGGTGTCCGCGCCCCGAGCCTCCTTCCCCAGCCTCCCGCCCCGCGGAGCGGAGCGGCACGCTGTCCGCTCGCACGGCACGGCGTGTCACCGGGGCCGTCGCCGCGGCACGCGGGGCAAGCGTTGCAGTAGGCGCGCCAGCCCTCACTGCTCCGACCTGTGGTCGAGAGTGTTCGACCGGACCATGTCCCGAGCCGGACCCCGCTGCCGCGGCTGCCCCACCTTCGAGTGGGGGGGGATTCGAGGAGGAGTCTCCCCCTCTCTCGTCCTCCCTCGGCTTGGCCAGGGCTTCCTCCCTCCACCTGTTGGTGGTAGCAGAGGGCGAGGCTCGCCCGGCGGGAAGGCGCCTCAGGGTCAGGGCCTTCCGCGCCCTCCCGTGGAGGCCGTCCACGGTCCCCGCCCGATGCGGCGATGATACGTGCCGATGTCTTCGCGCGACACTTCTCGATTCGACCGCCAAGCCCCGAGGGCGGCCTCCCCCCTCTTGGCATCGCTCGGACGTGTGCATTTTCCCTTCGGCGAGGACCGTCGAGGAGCATCCCTGATCATTTTGCGAAAAAGCCGCGCACGAAACCGAGCAAAAACACACAGGGAGTGGACGTCCGAGCGACGGCCAGCCCTCTGCGGATGGAGCCCCACGCGGCCTGCTCCACCGTGCCAGCGCTTCGTTCCGTGGCAGCCTGTCCGGGCGGGCGCGGCGCCAGGGACGGCGAGGCTCTGGAGTGGCCGCGGCGGGGTCTCGCCTGTCGGCGCCCGACGGCCACCTCTCAGGAGGGAGAGAAACACGCAGACAGAACGAGTCGTCGGCTCCCGGGAAGACGTGGGAGAATTGGGAAGTGCGGGGGAAGACGGAAACCCAGAACACACGGGAAGATGATGGGGAATCCTGTCATTTGTGCGTCTATTTGTTTTGTGTGTCTGTTCATTCGTGTGTCTATTTATTTGTGTGTCTGTTTACGTCCCTGGGCCCCTTCGATCTCGGGCCTCCGCGGCGCGAGGGTCGGGGGCTGACATCCAGGACCCACGCGTGTGCATCACCACCGCGGGGCGCTGTTTTGCCAGGGGGGTGATCGGATCATCGTTTCGGCGGTGGGTTTCAGGATGCGTCAAATCTCGCGATGATTTCTCCTTCGGGCTGAGATCTAGGACCCACACGTCTAAATCACCACCGCGGGCTTGTTTTCTGCCCGGGGGGGGTTGACCGGATCATTGTTTCGGCGGTGGGGTGCAGGGTGCGTCAAGTCTCGCGATAATGACCTGTCGCGTGTGCAGCGTCATCTGGGTACGCGGTTGCATGCGACAGAAACAGCACAATCACGTGGTGTATACTTCGGGGTGGTGCATAAAATTCCCGTGTGGGCCCCCATCGTTTTGATACACCACCATTGTGCTGCCATAGGGTGCTTGGGAGCAGCTATTCACGACCGAATGCGGCCGCCATCTGCGCGCATGACCACGTGGCAAGTACTTGGGCAGGCAGTGACACCCACGTCGGGGCGGTCGCGCGCAGGACTTGTTCCTTTCCTATGACCAGCTGGTGGTGACGCAACCTTTAGCCCCCTCCCTAGGTGTATCCCCAGCCATAGCCACTCGTGTCATGAAGCAGTCACGGCTGGATCGAGGCTCGAGAGCTCGAGGATCGAGGATCGAATCGTGTGTTCTTGGGGTCTCACCGGGGCCTCCCTGGCGCCACGGCTGGATCCGACCCGACATTTTGGAAAGAATGTTCAGCCAACCCGCGCAGTAAGGATGGGCAACTCTTTCCAAGGGCACCCGTGCATCCTGGCCCCTTCGGCCCATCCTGAGCGACTTCCGCTGGCCGTCCTCGTTCGAAGAAAGTCAACATTGGCCTCCGGGGCCCTCGCATCCTCACCACACGCCCTTACGATGCGGGTTGATTGTGCCCCACAGCATGTCCAGTGATCGATCTTCGGCTCCCAGAGGCCCAGACGTGCTCGCCAGGGCTGGACATGAACGCTGTTTTGCTGGACTTCGGCTGCGTTATGCTTCTCGTCTTGGCAGGGAGGCACAGGAAGACAGGTCGAGCAAAACGATAAACGAAACGAGCACATAACGAATACATAACGAAACCATGCAGAACACAAAACATACACATAACGAACACATAACGAAGAGCAAACCATACAGAAACGAACACATAACGAAAACATAACGAAGACATAACGAAACGAAACCATAACGAAACGAAGCGCGCCGAGACAACAGAACTACTACGACGGGAGGTTGTTTTTGATGAGTCTCCTGCCTCCGGCGGCCCGCGCCTGGCCTGAGGTCGAGCACGTCCCTGGACGGGAGGAGTATCCCAAAGCAGTCAAACAATATTGGGGGGTCGATGTTTTGATTTTTTTTTGAGTATGTTTCGAGTATTTTCTATTGTTTGTCCAAAATCCGCATGTAGGAGGGCATGCTCGACCTGAGCCTGGCCCTATGGGTCCGTCCAATCCCTTGGAACGGGTCAGCACTTCCCGAAGTCGTGTGTTCCTAGGCCTCTCAGATGGGGTCGGAGTGGATGGGGTCGGAGGATCGCGCCGCATCGCCGATGCATCGGCGATTCATCGGCGATGTATCGGCGATGCGGCTCGATGCGGAGCCCGATCTTCTCCGCGCCAACGTCGCCGACGCGTCGCCGACGTCGGCGATGCATCGACGATGCATCGCCGATGCGTTGGCGAGGCGGCGCGATCCTCCGGCCACATCAAACTTGGACACCACTGAGGAGGCCTTCAGTATTGGCATCGCATGTCTGGGAAGTCGAGCAGTGGCATGCCGCTAACTTTGAGTCGGGTCAATCCCTCTACAGGAGGAATATTCATACATACTTAAAACATAGTCTGGGGACGATTGCTGAGTATTTTTTGATTATGTTTGAATATGTTTTGACTATTTTATTATTCCTCCAAAGTTCGCCTGTAGGAGGACATGCCCGACCTAACACTAAACGGTGTCTTGCGGAAGGGTGCTCTGTCCATCCCCGACTGGGGTTGGATCTAGCACGTTGGGAGCCCGTGGGATGCGGTTGGTTCGGGTTCGGGTTCGTGTTGTGTCGACGCGGGGGTGATTCCAGCGCGGGAGTTCAAGGAGGAACGCCGCCCGCGACCCAGAATCGACCGTCATGGACGGTACGCGCCATTGGAAAGCCGCCGATCGATCCAGGTTGGACGATTCGCGCAGATTCGACAAACCAACGCACCAGTCATCACGACACGAGCTTGTCGTAATGATGTCGGGGAGGCATGTCTGGACTGAGCACAGGTCGTCGCTCGTGGGGCTCCAGAGTGCGTGTGCCGCGTTACCGCTCCCTGAGCCGTTCCTGTTCCAGCGGTGCGGGAGGACCAGCTTCCACGCCCCCTACGTGCTCGCGTTCACTGAGATCGGTCAGTGCATCAGTTGGAGCATCGTGCCGGACTTGGCCTACGGCGGGGATGGGCGCGTCGAAGATGAGCAACATGTACAGTCATCACTTTCCAGAGCTCTGCGCGGAGTTCTGCGTTGTGCCCCCCTGCTCCTCCTCCTCCTCCTCCTCCTCGTCCTCCTCCCCGCTCCTCCTCCTCCTCCTCCTCCTCCTCCTCCTCCTCCTCCTCCTCCTCCCCGCTCCTCCTCCTCCTCCTCCTCCTCCTCCTCCTCCTCCTCCTCCTCTTGCTCCTCCTCCTTTTCCCCCTCCTCGTCTGCGAGAGCGAGGAAACAGGCATGGTCTGCGGGATTGTGTTGGCAATGGCAACGCATGTCTTGCGTGCCTGGTTTTCGCAGCCTCTTTTGGTGGCGTGGTGAGGGGTGTCGAGAGAGATGTGTTGGCACGGGTGCCTGAGGCCGTGTTCTGCGCCTGCGGGAGTGAAACAGTGATCGTACATGCAGAGGGACAGCGGGTCCACCGTGCCGATGAGCCCATCAGTGTTTGTAGCCAAGGTGATGAGTTCAGTGCTTGATAACAATGAGGAGCGCAAGCGGTGAGGCAGTAGCACTGGTAGTCGTATAATATGTGGCAGGTGGGCAGGTGCCTGCACGATGAGCTTCCTCTTCACAGCATACGTGGCCCCGCAGTGTGTTCGAGCACCTCTCTCCGAGACCTCTCTCTGAGCCCTTTCTTCTGAGATGAGCCCTCGGTGTATCTCACCGTTGTGGCTTCGCATATTATGGGGCACTGCGGAAGTGTTTGAAACTGCCATGCAGCGGCTTCGCGCGCCCACGAGCCCCCCAGATCGCAAGACGATGGTTTCGATGTAAGGCAGGGGTTCGAGAAACTATCGAAAGGACGACCAGACAAGTGTGTGAATCTGACCTGGATAATTCGGGAGTGTGATAATTGGCATAATCGATGCCGATTGTTTGAGGTGGATGTAAAGCATGGCCGACGAGCGCCTTGTTGCCACAGTGAGGTTTGAAGTGTCCTCGCATTCTGCTTTTCTTGCGATGATTGCTTTCTTCGTTGGGTCCGTCTTCGTTTCCGGCTTGCCATCGTCAGATTCTAGCATCCTTGGCGACATTTGCAGATAGTAGATAGTCAAGTCTTTATTTGTAGTCCGCAGTCGCCAATCAAGAGAGCATGCTGCCTGATCTCGGCGGCGAGCGATGGGGGGGAATTGAGAAGAAGCAGGCCTTCTCAGAAGGCGGCGGGGCTTCTCAGAAGCCCTCGCGCCTTCTGAGAAGGTCTTTCTGTCTTCGGGGAAGGCTTAGAACACTTCTCAGAAGTCCGGGGGACTTCCGAGCCTTCTGAGAAGGTACGCCCCTTCTCACTTCCCCCGCTGGCTCGCCGCCTATGATCTGCCCTTCCCTGTTCGTATCTGCTGAAGCCCGGTGGGTAGGGGGAGCAGGCAGTGTAAGAGTCGTGCAGCTTCTCGGGCTTATATATCTAGTTTTGTTTTGCCGTGCGCGATGCTCACCCTGCCGAGCAGGAAGGAGGAGGAGGAGGACGAGGACGAGGACGAAGAGGAGGAGGAGGAGGAGGAGGAGGAGGAGGAGGAGGAGGAGGAGGAGGAGGAGGAGGAGGAGGGAGGAGAGGAGGAGGAGGAGGAGGAGGAGGAGGAGGAGGAGAGGAGGAGGAGGAGGACGAGGACGAGGACGAGGACGAGGACGAGGACGAGAACGAGGACGAGGAGGAGGAGGAGGAGGAGGAGCAGGAGGGAGAAGGGAGGATGGAGGAGGAGGAGGATGAGGAGGATGAGGAGGAGGTCCTGGGGGGCAAGAGCGTCGGCACATGGGCTGCAAGAGGAGTAAAAACGACCAGACGCTCGTGGGTCATACGAGCACAATAACCACATTGACGAAACAGTAGCAGGGGCACGGCGGGAGGGAGGCTTGGGCGAACACATGAGGAGGAGGAGGATGAGGAGCAGGAGGAGGAGGAGGAGGAGGCGGAGGAGGCGGAGGCGGAGGAGGCGGAGGAGGCGGAGGAGGAGGAGGCGGAGGACGAGGAGCTGGGGAGGTTGCTTGCCAGGAGATGTGTTTATTTTTTCTTGTCGTGAGGTGCCGAAGGGCTGTCGTCTGTTCGTTTCAGTCGGTGTGCAGGCTCTTCAGATGAGGTTTCCAGTCGTCATCATGCCCAGATCCGCCCTGCTCCGCCGTCATTTCTACACGAGTGGGTCTGGCACTCCACATACTGGCGCTGCGAAGCGTGTCTTAGGGCGAGAAGACCTTTCAATAATTTTGTTTGCGGCAGCAGTGACAAGCCCCCAGAAGAAGGTTGTTTTGGTCAAGTTCCCGAGAACCTACTTCAGGTGGGGCCCAGGGGGCACAAGCTGCTGAGTTTCGACTGCAGTGACAGGTCCCCCTTATTCATTTGTGTCAGGTGCGCGGCAGTTTCAACCCTTGGGCCGCTGAGCTTGCTGGGGAGGACTCGCCAACCTCCCACGCGCAGCAATCTGGAACGCTGGCGACACAGAGTGCTGAAAGGTCGACGCCCGAGGCCCGACGGTGCTGTGATCGAACCTTCGGTCGACTCAGAGGCTCTCGAGGAGCCAACTCTCAGCCAGGCCCAGCATGCTGAAGGTGCCGTCGACCCGTCGTCAGTGTCGTCGTCTTCTGTCAGCTGAGCCGGGCCTGGCGAAGTGCCGCCGTCTTTCTCTTCTTTTCAGGCCCCACGAAGAGAGCCTGTCGGAGGCGAGGGCAGGGTGCACGATCCTCCCCACGAGTGGGACGGGGCCCCGAAGCGTGCAGCAGATCGGGGCCCCTCGGTTTCGGGTGGGGAGGGCAACGCTCCTCTGCGAGCTGCCCGCGCAGGCGCCGTGGAGTCCGGGAAACTCCGGCTGACCTCTGGCTCCTGGGTGTGTCTTGGCATCGCTCGGACGTGTGCATCTTTCTGTCGGCGAGGACCATCGAGGAGCATCCTTGATCATTTGGCGGAAAAACCACGCACGAAACCGAACAACAACACATGGAATGGACGTCCGAGCGATGGCGAGGTGGGTGTGTATGTGTGTGTGTGTGGGTGTGCCTGTGTGTGTGTGTGCGGGCCCGTTCCGCTCGGCCACCGCCAGGGGCAGTTCTTTTACTGACAAGCAAAAGCTGTGTCAGTCATTGCCTGGTTTAAAACATACTCCTCTCGGGAAACATGAGACGCTGCAAGATGTGCGCGATGTGTTCGTGTCGGACGTGCGCTTCCAGCATCGGCACATCCTGCTGCAGCCGCTTCCCTGCTCCAGCGTTGCATCTCTACGTGATGCGTCCATGCGGCTTCGCGCAGCAAGAGCCTTTTTGCTGGTTGGTTTGGGGCCGTCGTCAACAGTATCATCGGGCATCCTGGCGCAGGGCCCGTGCATGCCAGCTAGACGACTCGCGCCAGACACTCCACATAGAGACGTACAGCCGAATCGGAAGAGGGCTCGCTGCGTCTCGGCCTCGGGTCCGCGTGGGCCCCCCCGATGGCTGTGCGATTGCCTGGGAGCTTGCGCTTGGCTCTAACCCACGTCCAAGACAAGAAGACGAAGACAGCGGCTGCAGTGTGCCCTCCGTCAGGGAGCGACGAGCGGCGGGAGCGGGAAAAGAGGGGGAAGCAGGGCCACTAGGCTAATCTCCCCGGTCCCGCAGCAGACCCTCGGGCGCAGTGGTGCTCACCGCGCCCGTGGCGCAGGCCAGGCATAGTGCCTGGCCTGCTGGACAGCAGTTCTGCCCAGGCGGTAGCTCCATGCGGCGATGGTGTGCCGGCGGAGCCAGCGAAGGTGCTCAAGCTTGAACTCTGCATGATAGAACAGCGCGGAACCGCTGAGGGGCACGGCAATGCCACGTGGCCCGACGGAATTCATTCGTGAACGATCGGGGCCGTGATCGGTGTAAGTCTGAACGATCGACGCGGTGCCGAACAACTTTTTCGTGCGCCGACGTCGCACGAACCTACCGTACGTTAAGTTTGAGGTCGCCACGTTCGGTACCATAGGGGAGGCGACGCTGATAGTAAGGATGAGCAAGTTCCCATTGGCATCCTTTGCATCCTTGCCTCTTCAGTCATTTAAAGTCCACACTCGACCACTTTCTGTTGCCAGCCCCGCTCGAAGAGCTTCGGCATGGGCGTCCGAGGGGCTTGCATCCTTATCGCGCATCCTTAGTGCCTGTTTCGCAAGGATGCCTTCGAGGGCACGAAGTTATTCGCTCTTCGCGGTTCGTATCCGATTCCTCCTCGTCCTCCTCTTCTCCCCTGGGGGTCGGCGCGAGAGCGCGAGATTATTCGCGCCTCGCGCAGCGCGAAGCGCGAAGTCAGGCGCCCTTGGTTTTTGATAGTGCAGAGCGTCTGACTTCGCAGGTGTTTTTGGATGCCCAAGTCCCCATCTACTTTAATGCGTTTTTCCTGCCTCGAGAGTCGAGCGGTTTCCCCTCCTTCTCTCCTCTTCAGGGGGCGGGCGGGAGCCGAATTTGCTTCCAACGCCTTCCTGACCTTCACGGTCCCACCTACTTTCTCCGACTTACGTGTACAGCAGCCTGAACAGCGTTGCGGCGATGCCGTGGCCGTTTTCGTTTCGATTCCGCCCTGCCGCAGAGGCGGACGGAAACCCAGACGAGGAGGTGAGCCTGGACGCCTCCCATTGCCGGTGCTCGCGCGCCACGGCGATCGCAGCGCACCTCCGCCCCGACTTGCCCCACCCTGCCCAAGCGTTACTATTGCCAGGTGTCCGGGCCCCCCTCCCCTCGGGTAGCTGCCGTTGCCAGGCGCTCCAGTGCAGGATTTCCTGGACGCCCACGACTGTCGTTGTTGTTTCAGTCAGATGGGTTCTTTGCGCGCCCCCCCGACCAGTGGCCCCCCTCGAGGTGGACAGCGGCATGTACGAGATCGCGTCGCTGCCCCTGGTGTTGCGCAAGCGGCTGGCCTCTCCAGGCCCCAGCCGCCTCGACCTCGCCGCGACGAGCTCCGGGTATGGTGGCGCGACTCCGGTTGGCGGTGGTCACGGTGCTGCCCTCCCCCTTGGGTGGCCAGTGGACCAGGGCTTGACCTAAACGCCAGTCTGCTGGGTTTCGGCTGTGTTGGGTTTTTCGTTCTTGCGGGGAGGTACAGGACGAGAGGTATGGTGAAACGAACAACAGTACGAAACCAAACCGAACGACAACGTTTTTGGCCCAGCGCTGCAGTGTGCACCTTTTGGTACACTGGCCTCCAGTGCCTGAGGCCGCCCGCGCACTCGTCGTGGCGAATCTTCTCAATGCCCGAGGCATCATCCCCCTTTTCCTCCTCCGCGGCCGATCTCTTCTTCCCTGTGATCTCTCTCTCTCTCTCTATGTATCTCTGTGCGTGTGAGTGTGTGTGTGTGTGTGTGTCTGTGCGTGTGACTGACTGTGCGTGTGTGTGTGTGTGTGTGTGTGTGTGTGTGTGTGCCCGTAGCCCCTTCGCGGCCCGCCATCTGCCCGACCGCGTGGTGCGCTCGCCCTCGCCGCTGACAGAACTGCATGCCTGGAACTGTACAGTGAGCGGCCTGAATAAGGAACACTTAATTTTCAAAAGGGGCTCGGTCGTTCCTTAGGTTTACATGCGTCATTTGCAGTTCCTTATGCGTTATTTCTTCGTTATCGTTCCTTATGCGTTATTCCTTGGGATAAAAAGGGGCTTCGTTCCTTATTTATCGTTCCTTAGGTCAGGCCGATGACTGTATGCCTCGGCGGCGAAATCCGAAATCCCCCCCCCACCGATCCACGATCCAGGCAACTCGATGGGCGGCGGGGGCAGGGTTCGGAATTCGGCGAGCGCGCGGCAGGATCCGAACCCGCCCCCCGCCCCCCATCGACTCGGCAGAATCGATGGTTGGCGGGGGCGAGGTCAGAATGTCGCAACCCAGCACCTTCGCGCGGACCCTTGGCGAGGTGTGCCTGACAGCCCTAATTACGAGGCGCAACGAATCACCACGCAGCAGTGCAACGTGGCACACGTTGGAGCTTCCCAAGGCCGCGCTGGCGCGCACTGTCGTACCAGCCGACAAGGCAAGCCTGGACTGCACTCCCCTGCGCGGGTCGAGGGTGGCGGCCCCCCCCCCCCTCCGCATTTGTGTGCGCTCGCTGGGGCCGGGCACCGCCTCTCGGGGCGTCGAGCGCCGCCACGCGGCGCCACGACCGCTCAGCGCGCGCGCGCGCGTCGCAACACAAACACAGACCTGGCGATCGCCAGCCCGGCGTGCTTCCAGGCCAAAGGATCGAGTCCACGACGCTCTTTGGCGTCGCGTTGATGCCGCCCCGCTGTGTCAGACCGCATGTGCACAGATTGGCATAATCTGTGTTTCAACGTTTGTTTCATGACCCTGTCTATAGTAACAGCCCCACCCTGGAATCCAACAGCCCGCTGGTTTCGATCGCAAGCCAGCACGTCACCGCCTGAGGAGGCCTTTCTCGGCAGCCTTGCGCGGCGATTCTGTGACACTCTGCTGGGGCATCGCCCGCAAAGGCCTTTCTCGGTAGTTGGCCTTCGCTAGCGATTCTGCAGGAGCGTACGAGATCGTTGCGCGACGAACCGATGGCGCGATGATTACCCGAGTTCCCAGGGCGTTTCTATGAGTGTATACGCCGGCAAAACTAGTGGTCAAGTGCAATGGTGATTAGCAGGGGCTTCTAGGGGTCAGCATCGACAAACAGCGTTGGCCCACATACCGTCGATGGGATTCGTGTGACGGCGGTCGGGGTTGGGTGGAGGTGGGAAGGGCTTACGTAATAGGCGAGACAGGACATGCAGCCTTGGCGCCACCTTGGGCTAGTGAGGCTGTCGGAGCGAACCAAAACCAAAAGGGGTTTTGTGGCGGCAGCCAGCGTGTGACGTGTGATGGCCAGGTGGGGCTGACGGTGGCGGCAGCCATGGCTAGTCTAGTGATGTTCAGTGTTCGGGGCTGGTCAGTCAACCAGGGGGCTAGTCGGATTTTCGAGTAGGGGGTCGCTTGCATAATTGATTTACCCCGAAGCCGATCTTTTCGCCGAATCATACGTAGACCGTCTGTAGATCTACGAGCGGCCTACGCACTTCTCATGGATTCGACGAACGAATCAATCACGTTGTGTGAGTCACTTATGTCGTCGATTTTCTTCGAGAGGTGGGGCATTTGCGGCCGAAGTGGAACGGAGCCGCCCAACCGAAAACATCGGTTGCGGTTTCGGCCCGTGCCGCGCGAGGCTGGGCGAGGCGGAGCAGCGCGCATTTCCCGCGCTGGCCCGGCCCGGGCCCAGGTCCAGGCGTTTGGGTCGGGACCCCGCGCGCCGAGGCGTTCCGGGGGTTGCCCCGCGGTTGTCCCGAGGGCTGTCCTGCTGGATGCCCAGGTGTTCCGGCGGCTTCCCCGAGGATTGATCGGGCGGCTGTGCCGATGGTTGTCCCGATGGTCGCCCCGCTTGCTGTCCTGACGATGGTCCCGGCAGGTTGCGCCCGAGGTCGTCCCGGTGTTTGCGCCGATGATCGTCCCGGTGTGTCATCCGACGGCTGTCCCGACGGTTGTCCCGATGGGTGTCGGGGTGATTGTCCAGATGTTGTCCCGATGGTCGTCCCGTCGGCTGTCACGATCGTCCCGTGGTTGCTGCGCCTTTGTCCTGTGGTTGTCCCGTGGTTGTTTCGTACTTGCCATGTGACTGTCTTGTGGCTGTCTTGTGTTTGTATTGATGTGTGTCCCGTGGTCGTCCGGTGGTTGTCCCGCGAGCGTGCCACAGTTGCCCGCCGTTGTCTCGTGGTTGCCCCCGTACTGTTTCGTGGTTGTTCTTCGCTTGAGCTGTGGTTGTCCTGTGGTTGACCCGATGTTGTCCCGTGGTTCTAGTCCCACGTAGTCCAATGGGGCTCCACAGAGCCAAATGAGTTCATTGAAGCCCAACGGAGCCCAAGTGGTCTCAACGAAGTCTTATGGACCACAGGAATCCAATAGAGCCCTTTTGGGTCGCATGGGTTTCAACGGAGTCCCATGGAGGCCAATGGTGTCCACCAATGTTGTCCGATGGACACAAACGAAATCCAATGTAGCCCAATGGACTCGTCTGGTACGCTACTGGAATCATATGGAGGTCAATGGATGGCATCGGAGTCCAATGGTGTCCTATGAAGATCTGTGGAGGCCAGCGGAATCCGATTGAGCCCGATGCGGCCCAACTGACTTCAACGGAGTGGTATGGATATTCCAACGGAACCGTTTATTTGAGTGACGTTCAATGGAGTCCGATTAATCACATGAGCCGCAATGCAGTCCTATGGAATTTAGTAGAGCCGAGCGGAGGCCACTTGAGCCTAATGCGTACCAGTGGTACACTGGGGTCCAACCGAGTCCCTCTTGGTACTCTGAGTATTTCTGTTTGCGGTCTTCACTGGTAGATATTTTGGTCAGGGTTTCGCCGCGCCCAGGGATGCCAAACAGTGCCGGGACCATGAGCCAGTAGGTCTAGTGGGTGTAGCCAGGAAGGCAGTCGGCGCGCGTGCTGGCAACCCGCGGTGGCGCTGCCCATGACTGGCAGAGGAGCTGGGCTAGTGGATTTCGTGTGTTCTGCCTGTGGCTGGTAGGGGCACCTGGCGGCAACCAGTGTTGGTTCCGCCCCGGGTCGGTGGGCCGAAGGCACGAGCGGGGCCAGACAAGGGGGTCTTGCGAGGAGCCAAAAGGGCCAGTTGGGCTCGTCAGAGGCCAGGGGCCGCATCCAGGGCAAGGGGATCTCGTCTGGCCCGTCCGGGGCCAGCACGGCCCATGTTGTGGTTCAGGGGCGTCAGCCAGCGTTGCTCCACCGAGTGCCTGTGGAGCTAGTCGAGGGCTAGTAGGGGCGAGGGGCGGCAATGAGCATCGTCGTCAAACGCGAGAAGCACCGAGCAAGTTCCACTACTCGCAGTGTGCCTACTCGCAGAGTGCCTACTCGCCTACTGCCTACGTCTTCCTCTAAGTGATTGATCGTAAATCCCCCGCGGTGGATCCAGGCCATTTGCGAGTAGTCATGTTGCGATTGGTGGAACGCGCTTGTTTAGAGAAGGCATGTGTGTTTGCGTGTGTCGGCAAATTTCTGGTCCACCGGAAGCCAAGGGCGCTAGTGCCGCAAACGGGGAGGAGGTACGTTTTCCTCTGCGATACGAATCGAGCAACTGCCCCGGCACGCTTTTCGCTGTGACTGTAGTCTGGGCGAGGGCGGCGGTTGGGGTGGGGGCAGGGAACACTCTGTCCACGTGTTGTGTGTTGAAGTGTTCTGTTTGCTCTTGGCTTGGGCCCTCGTCACCACAGACGGACGCGTCTCGAGAAACCGTCCCTCTCAGGATAGCGCCTGGGAGGACCCGGGGCCCATCTCGACAGCCTTCTTGTTATTGTAGGATTATGTCGGGCATGTCCCCCTACAGGGGGATTTTCGACGTAAAATAAAAAATGCCCCAACACTACCCCCAAAACGCTAGAAAGTATTCAAAAAATAGTCACCACCAGACTATTTTTGGGCAATTTTTTGATTTTTTTGGGTATTTTTTATTCTTCGTCGGAAATCCCCCTGTAGGGGGACCCGCCCGACTGAATTGCAGGAGGGTTGGTATGAGGCGCGCGTGGCCGAGCACCCCGCCGCGCCGGCACGGAGCGGTGCCGGTGGCCGTCCCCTCCGCGTGCCCAGCGCAGGGGCGCGACATCTGCGGCATGAAGTCGGGCACGTCCCCCTACGGGAAGATCGGGGGTGGGCGGACCTCCTGCCCTGACACGTCGAGTACGGTAGGTTCCTGCGGCGTTGACGCGCTGGCGACGCCAGCGAAGGCGTTAAAGGTTGAATTCTGCGACGCGGAAGCACCGATGGGCCCGGTAATGCCATTGGGCCCGACTGGATTTAACCTTGAACAATCGAGGCCGCGATCGATTCAAGATTGAACGATCGACGCGGTGTCAAAAACCTTTACGCGCGCCGACGCCGCACGAACCTACCGTAAGGAATTGGCCGTTTTCGGTTCGCGAGGGGGCGTCGCGGCCGTCATCTTTGCGGGTCCCGGTCCGTCTGTTTCGGTCCCAGGCCCTTTTCACGAAGGGGAGGTCTACCAAAGGGAGGTTTGTCCACCGCCGAGAGGAATGTCCAAGAATAGTCAAAACATAGTCAGGGGACCATTCTCGACCACGTTTGACAGTTTGGGAGCATCGTGTCTGACTATTTTCTCTTTTCTTGTCGTCCAACATCCCACCTGACTGCAGTACGACGCCCGTGACCTTCTGTCATTGCACTGCGGCTTGGGAACCGACTCGGTTCCCCGCTGCGGCTTGTCCCTCTTCGCCGTTTCGCTGCGCGGCGGAGACGTCCAAGCAGGGAGCTGGGTCCGCCGACGTGGAGATACGAACACACTCGAGGCATCGAGACTGCCCCCCCGCTGGCCCTGCGGGCATCACTGGGGCGACAGCGAAGAGGTACATACACTTGCGAGCGGTTCCTCTGCGTCCTCGTCTGCCTCCCCTCCCCATCCCCTCCGTGATTCTCCTCGACCTCCCTCTTCCCTCGAATTCTGACGGGCTCCGTGGCCTGCGACGTGCTCGTGAGCTGCATAATTCCCGCGCCCCTTGCCGTGATTGGCGGTGGGCGGCTTCCCCACCCTTCGTTCTGGGGGGGAGAGGTGGGGAAATGCAGGCATACCGGTACCCCGATGGCCCAGACCTCTCCCGTCGTGCGATCTGACCATGAATTGAAGGCGAATTCAGCCGTGGCGACGACGGTCGGGTAGTGGTATAGGTTCCGCATTGAGGAGCTGGAGGCTTGCCCAGCTGTGCCTTGCTCTCCTCCTGCTCCTCCTCCTCCATCCTCCGCTCTTCCCTCCTCCTCCTTCTCCTCCTCTTCCTCCTCCTCCTCCTCCTCCTCCTCCTCCTCCTCCTCCTCCTCCTCCTCCTCCTCCCCCTCCATCTCCTTTCTTCCCCATCCTACTCCCCCATCCTGCTCCTCCTCCTCCTCCTCCTCCTGTTCCATCCTCTTTCACTCTATCTCTTTTTTACTCCCTCCTGCTCCTCCTCCATCCTCTCTCACCCCTCCTTCTTCTCTCGAACGTAGACGCATGTCCTTCCGCCCTGAAGTACCTCTGAACTGTCCCTCCTCCCCCCTCCCCTCCCTAGAGGAGGGTTCCCAACCCTCCTTCCAGACGGGGAGGAGGAGGGCTCTCTCCACCTCGAGCAGGAGGAGGAAGAGGAGGAGGAGGAGGAGGAGGAGGAGGAGGAGGAGGAGGATGTCCCCACCACATTCTTCCGAGACTGGAAGGAGGGGGCGGGAGAGGGAAGGTCAAGTCGCTACGTAAGCGTTTCAGGTTGGACACTGCACGCTGTCTCATGACATCAGTGCCTGATCACCGAGATCCCAATCTTCAGTTGCAGTCGCATGATACTTAGATGAGAATCGGTGCTGCTGGTCCTCCCAACCCCCAGGACATCCCCAAAATGTTGAGAGCACTCCAAGACCTCCGAGCGCACCCCGAGTCTCCAGGAATTGCCCCCCCCCCAAAAAAATATCCCAGTGCGACCCTACCTAGGAGTTGGAACCCCTAGGAAAGCAGCATTAGTAGTAACAGTAAAGCTAAGGTAAAGCTAAGCCACAGCTAGCTAAAGCTAAGCTAACGCTAAGCTAAAGCTAAGCTAACGCTAAGCTGCAGCTAAGCTAATGATAAGCTAAAGCTAAGCTAAATCTAAGCTAAAGCTGAGCAACAACTGAGCTAAAGCTAAGCTACAGCTAAGCTACAGCTAAGCTAAAGCTAAGCTAAAGCTAAGCTACATCTAAGCTAAAGCGAAGCTACAGCCAACCTACAGCTAAGCTAAGGCTAAGCTAAAGGCTAAGCTAAAGGCTAAGCTAAAGGCTAAGCTAAACGCTAAGCTAAACGCTCAGCTAAACGCTAAGCTAAAGCTAAGCTAAAGCTAAAGCTAAAGCTAAGCTAAAGCTAAGCTAAATCTAAACTAAAGCTAAAGCTACAGCTAACGCTAAAGCTAAAGCTAAAGCTCCCAGGGGACTGGGGGAACCGCTCCCAGGGGACTGGGGGAACCGCCCGGGGCGTGTTCCACTGCCGGGCCCCTTTAAGCTAAGAGAGTAAGAACCCTTCTAGGCAGAGCCTAGGTAGGGAAAAATGCCCTCCCCTCCTTCCCCCCCCTCCTCCCCGTTCCTCCCCGTTCCTCTCCTCCTTCTCCTCCAGGGTGTGGGGGGGAGGGCGAGTCCTTCTGGTTTCATCGGGCCTGCGGCCGTCCCCCGCCGCCAGGCTGGTACGCCGACCTGCTGTCCTGTCTGCCAGGCCTCCGCGGCCGTGTCTCAATCAGCGAGCGCAGCCTGCCGCTCACGAGGAGGGGGAGGCAGCGGGGCCAGATGGCGGACGCAGGCCCTGAGGCAGGGAAGTGAAGCTAGACAGGAGGAGGAGGAGGAGGAGGAGGAGGAGGAGGAGGAGGAGGAGGAGGAGGAGGAGGAGGAGGAGTAGGAGGAGGAGGGGTGCGGAGAGGGAGGGGGATTTTGCGGGGGGAGGGCATCGGAGGGAGTTCTAGGGGGGAGCATGTGATGATGATGATGATGATGATGATGATGATGATGATGATGATGATGATGATGATGATGATGATGATGATGATGATGATGATGATGATGATGATGCTGATGATGATGATGATGATGATGATGATGATGATGATGATGATGATGATGATGCTGATGATGATGATGATGATGATGATGATGATGATGATGATGATGATGATGATGATGATGATGATGATGATGATGATGATGATGATGATGATGATGCTGATGCTGATGCTGATGATGATGATGATGATGATGATGATGATGATGATGATGATGATGATGATGATTGATGATGATGATGATGATGATGATGATGATGCTGATGATGATGGATGCTGATGAGGAGGAGGAGGAGGAGGAGGAGGAGGAGGAGGAGGAGGGGAGGAGGAGGAGGCGGAGGAGGAGGAGAGGAGGAGGAGGAGGAGGAGGAGAGGAGGAGGAGGAGGAGGAGGAGGAGGAGGAGGAGAAAGATAACGAGAAGGGGACAAGGAACAAGGAAGAGTGCGATGGTTTTGGAAAAAGGGGGCAGCACAGAGAGGAGAATGAAGGAGGAGCAACAACAGGGCGGGGCGGTGGTTGGTTGGCGGGGCGGTGTTCGGTGGGTGGGGCGGTGTTTGCCAGGGGGGGGGGAGGCGTGGTGTGCGGGGCGGGGTTGGGTGTGCGGGGCGGTCCCTCGCGCGGGCGGGGCGGAGTTTGGGATGTGGACGGCGATGGGCTTGGGAGGGCCAGAAGGGGACGGGGTCGGGACCGGGTCGGGGCGTGGGGACGACGGCGGGGGAGGGATGCGGGAGCGAGTGCCGGAGGAGTGGGCGGGAGGAGCGCGCGGGGGAAGGGGAGCGCACCAGCTGCGCCGGGGCGTGGAGCTCCGAGGGCGAGCCGAGGCGGATGGCGGGAGGGGGGGGCGGGGGCGAGGGGACGAGGGGGCCCCAGGCACGCTCGCGTCGTGAGCAATACACACCCAGGCCCCCTCGACTCATGAGCAAAGCATGGCGGAGGGGTTCTCGCTGTTTTCGGCCTCTGGAGGCCCTCGCTGGGCCTCGGGGGCCGTCAGAAGAACGGCTCAGGATGAGGAGCCGGTTCCTTGGCGTGGGCCGAGACGTCTGCAGTGGGGGTCGACGTCACGAGAAAATCATGGCGTCGGGGCACTGGGTATATCACAGCGGGAGGCTTGCTGTGGCCGTTTCCAAGCTCTGTGGGCCTTCGCGGGGCCCCAGGGCCGTGCGAGACGAGTCGGGAGGAGAGGCCCGCCCATGGGACAAGGGCCGGGGCTGCGGAGAGCCCGTGTTGGACAGCGTTGCGCCGGCTCTTGCGAGGCCTCTGGTGGGTTGGTCTTCCACCGCCACCACCATGGGCAGAAGGTCGGGCGACGAAATCTATACATATCCACTGCTCCCTGGCCAGGCTTCTCCTGAACCCAGGAGATGTGTATACGCCCTCCTGGCCAAGCCAGGAGGGTGTGGCGTATACACCGTTGCTGGGTCCAGGATGGGCCTGGCCAGGGAGCACTGGATCTGTATAGACTTCGTCGCCCCAGAAGGGGGAGGGGTTCCTCCCCCTATTTTTCTCCTCTTCCTCCTCCTCCCCCTCCTCCTCCCCCCTCCAACTCATGGTGGTGGTGGTGGTGGTGGAAGACGGGCGCATCAGCCTCGGGCTCCAGATCCCCGGCGTCGCGATTTCTCGGGACCTGGGCCCCGAGAGGTCTGGGCCCCTTCCCCGGGCCGTCTCCTCGCCACGAGTCGTGTCTTGATGGCCCTGGGGCCCTGGCTGGGGCCCCGAGGGGCTCGGGGGCGGCAACGAGGGGGGTGATGACTCGGGGGGGGGGGGATATCATGGCGTGGGCCATGATCTGTCACCAGATCAAATGGCGCCTCTTTTTATCTCCTTGCGTCCCTGCCCGCACCCCCTGGGCCGCGCACATGCCGCCGGCCATGATTCGCGCCCCCCCCTCTTGGACGCCCCCCTCATGGCCGCGCCCGAGAGGCGGAACACCATCAGAAACCTTCCGTCGCGACTTCTTCATGACCCCACGGGAGGCCCAACAACTATGGCCCAAGTCTGGCCGGTGCTTCTCACGGAAGGCAGCGCTTGTGGCGTTCAGGGACCTCAAGGAAGGCACATCTCGGGGGTGGACAGAACCCCCAACAGTGACACGTCGAATCAGTGAATTGTCCGTTCTCGGTTCTCGAGAGGGCGCCGTGGCCGTTGTTTTCCGGGCCTGCGCCCGCCAGGTTTGGGCCTCGGGTCGTTTTCACGAAACCACGTTTTACTAAAGGGGGGTCTGTCCATCCCCGAACATAGGGCGACGATATCTATACATATCCACTGCTCCCGGCCAGGCCAATCCTGGGCCCAAGAGCTGTGTATACGCCCTCCTGGCTTGGCCAGGGAGGCATATACACCGCTCCTGGGCCCAGGATGGGCCTGGCCAGGAGCAGTGGATATGCATAGATCTCGTCGCCCTACGAACATCGCTTTGCCTTCCGTGGGCAATGGAGCGACGCAGAGAAATAGCGAAACGGCAGAGTCGCCTGCGCCGACACGGGCGCCTCAGCTGCCCGCGTGAGCTCGCGCGTGAGCGCCCCGGCCTCCAGGGCGCAGCGCGCCGCGCCGGCGGCCTGCGGAGGCCACCGCAGGGTCGCTACTCGGGAGGAGAAAAAACACACAGACACAACTAATCGTCGATTCCGAGGAAAATGCAGGAAAATATGGGAAGTGGGGGGGAAGACAAGAACCCAAAAAATATTGGAAAATAAGGGGAAGTCTGTCATTTGTGTGTGTATTTATCTGTGTGTCCTGGGGCCCCTTCAGCTACCCCATCTCGCGTAAGATTAAGCTTGGCCTGTCCCTCTGCAGGGGGAGTCTCCAGGAATAGTCAAACCATGCTCCAGGGACGATTTTTGGTAAGAAGTTTTGGGCACTGTTTGAGTTTTCGTCCAAACTTCGCCCCGCCTGTAGGGGGACATGCCCGATCGAAGCGTCAGACCCGTCTCCTTTCGTCGCTCATTTGCTATTTGCCTTCTGTGGGCAAATCCCAGGCCCCCGAGGTGTGATTTTTTCGCAGCGTCGACCCCCAGAGGGACCCGGGACCCGGGTTCGTCCTGTGAGTCGTTCTTAAGCGTTCTTGAACGGCCCCGAGGCCTGGGAAGGGCCCCTAGAGGCCGAAAACATCGAAACAAACACCGCCCGTCGTGATATTTTTTCACAGCGCGAGGAGGTCTGGGATTGTCCCTTTCATCTGTGGAAGACGTTCAATGGAGAGGTGGCATATTACCAAATAGTTCCCAGACGTCTAAAACATAGTCAACACATGCTTCTAACGTGCTCAGACATGTTTCAAGCATGCCCCGAGGATGTTTCAAACATGCAGCAGAGACATTCTGAAGACAGGGTAAGTTCAGTGATCGAACGGTTGATGAGAGTGTCCATTGTCGGGCCGGGCGAAAGGGGGGGATTGGGAAAGGGGGGGTTACGAAATTTGCTGCATGCAGCTGGTTTCGGCTTCGCCGAGGGGCCCACTCCTCGATACATGGCCGCCTCCGGCGCCAGGAGGCGCCGGGAAAATCAGCTGCGTGAGCTGATTCTCACCCCCCCCCCTGTGCTATCCCCCCCTTTCGCCCGACCCGACACTGTCATGGCACCCACAGCCTCGGACGACGGCTCTCCCCTCTGGTGAGTCCTTGCCCCTTCGGCCCCGCCACCTGGGCGACCCGACGCGCCTCGCGGCTGCCCCCCCCGTGAGCCTCTGCAGGCTGCGTGCCGGCGCTGCTGCTGCTGAAGCTCGTGCTCCGCCTGCGCCACGTGTGCCTCCGCCGGGGCCCCTTCGGGGCCGGCGGGCCGGCCCACGGGGCCCCTCCCTTCCAGGGAGCGACGAGTGGGTCGGGGGCGGGAAAGAGGGGGGTGGTGACTAGTCAGAGCCCCGAATCATCAGGGGTAACTCGGGTCAGGGATAACTCGGGTTCGTTTTTCGGGAATCCAAGCCCGAGTTACCCCGGACCCGAGTTGCCCCGGATAATTCGGGCGTCCAGAGCCCCGAATCATCAGGGGTAACTCGGGTCAGGGCTAACTCGGGTTCCTTTTTCGGGAATCCAAACCCGACTTACCCCGGACCCGAGTTACCCCGGATAACTCGGGCGCCCAAACTAGGGGGGGTGGATATCATGGCGGGGGTCATGATATTTCCGCAGATTTCATGGCGCCTCTTCTTATTTCATTACGTCCCTGGCCCCCACGCTGGGCGGCGCACATGCCGCCGGTCATGATTTGCACCCCCCTCTCTTGGACACCCCCCTCTTGGCCGCTCCCGAGTGGGGGGGGGCGGCGGGTTCCCGGGGCCCCGTCGCGCTGCGGACAGGTCACGACGGTGGGTTTTTCGCCAGTTTCGCCCCCGGGGGGCCCCCACCAGGCCCCGGGGCCGTCAGAAGACGACCCGGGACGAAAAGCCCGTCCCGGGGAAGGGGTCAAGATTTCTGGGGGTCGGCGGCGTTTCGAAAGACCCGTGACGCCCGGGGTCCGGGCGTGAGGGGGGCAGCGGGGGCTGCAGAAAGGGACCCTCCAGGGTCCCTGTCGGGCCCAGAGAGGGGGGCTTCAGGGCCCGACAAGGGGTAATTACCTTCCTTCCCCGCCCCCCCCTGGCTGATCGCCCTCCTTCCTTCAGCAGGGAAAAGGCACGCAAACACACACACACAAACAACCGTCGATTCCCAGGGCAAGATGGGAACGTATGGGCGGTGGGGGGATGTAGACGAAGACCCAGAAACTATAGCACATATGTCAGGAGGGGAAAAAACACACAGACACAATTAATCGTCGATTCCCCAGAAAATATGGGAAAATATGGGAAGTGGGGGGGAAGACAAAAACCCAGAAAATATGGGAAAATATGGGGGATCATTTTATTTGTGTGTATTTATTTGTGTGTCTGTGGGCCCCTTCAATATGGACAGCCTTGGGGTCTGTGTGCCTCTCCTCGTGTGCTCCGGGGCGCCCTTTCTTATCATCTGCGCCCCGCCCCGTGGGGGCCTCCGCGGGCGGCCCGCCGGGCCCGCGCGGGATCGAGCGTCCCCAGATTTCGTGGCGCCTTCTCTTACTTCATTCTGTCCCTGGCCCCCCTCCTCCTCCTCCTCCTCCTCCTCCTCCTCCTCCTCCTCCTCCTCGCCCTCCTCGCCCTCCTCGTCCTCCTCGCCCTCCTCGTCGTCCTCGTCCTCCTCGTCCTCCTCGTTTTCCTCTCTTCCTGCTTACCAGCCTGGAACATACCCCTATCCCTATGTTTGACAGCACCTCACCTCGAGGCCGATCTCAAGGATTCCCTTCCGTCTTTGAGGGCCTATCCCTAAGATGGTCCTCGCTTCTTGCTCGCGCATCTTGGGGATAGGGATACGTTCGAGGCTGGTTACCTGCTGGCAGCTGGGCCGCGCACATGCCGCCGGTCATGATCTGCACCCCCCCCTCTTGGCCACCCCCCTCTTGGCCGCTCCCGAGACTCACCCGAGGCTGCTCCGATTCCCTGGCAGCGTTCCCAGACCCCCCTCTCGCTGGGAAGAAGTCGCGACGGGAGGTGTTTCGCCAGTTTCGCCCTCGGGGGGGGGGGGGGCCTCGCCGGCCCCGGGGCCGTCAAAAACCGTCTCGGGATGAGAAGCCGGTCCAGACCTTGCCGGTCTCGGCAATGGGGTCCAGACCAGGGCTGGACCTAGAAGCTGTTTTGCTGGACTTCGGCGGTGTGTTGTTTTTCGTTGTGGGAGGGAGTTCTACGGGGAAAAGCGGGTAAGGCAGAAGGGAAGACAACGCGAAAGTCAACGTATGGTCCAGCTCCAGATCTCTGGGGGTCAGCGTTGGGAAAAATCACGACGTCGGGGGTCTGGACTGCGCTGGCGTCGGGCCGAACGGCGGCCACGATCTCCATGGCACAGAAGACTGCAGTGCGCATGTGGCCGCGTTCCCGCCCGTGCCTCCTACAATTTTTCCGGCCTCCTGCTCCTCGGCAGCCTCCCTTCACCTGTGCTGCTGTCAGGGTTCCCAGAGATCCAACGCATGGCAAAAAATCAAGACGGACGTTTTGCGCAGTTTTCGGCCTCTTGGGTTTTGGGGCCCTCACTGGGCCCTGGGACCGTCTAAAAACGATTCAGGATGAAAATTCGGTCCTGGGGAATGTGTCGACCCTTCTGGGGGCCCCCTATTGAAAGAATCACGACATCGGATCTCTGGCTTCTTTGCTGGTGCAAGTTCCTTCTTTGGTCTGCACGGCATTTTCTTAGGTATCTCTGGCTGGGGCAGTCTTGCTTTCTCTCGCATGTCCTATGTTCTGAGGAGACTGCGTTTTTTTTTCCGAGAACGTTCTCTTGTTCCAAGAGCCTGTCGTGGTCCGGTAGGCCTACAGGAAGGCCAGGACACGGCCGGTCCTTGCTCAAACAACGGGCGGACTACACTTCAGTCGGGCATGTTCCTCTACAGGAGGAAAATTCAGAAATAATTAAAATAGTCAGGGGACGATTTTTCGATTATTTTTTGGGGTATGTTTGAATGGTGTTTGACATTTTTTTCATTTTTCGTCCACAATCCGCCTGCAGGAGGACATGCCTGACCTAACCCTACACCCCCTGCCTCCTGTCGCCTCCTCATGAGGGGAGATCTACATGCCACTCCTGGGAGGTCCAGGTCGGCCTCGGCGTTGGTGTCCCCGTGGTCGAAAGCTGGCCGACTCCGGGGCAGTCCCGAGTAATTACTTGAGCTTCATTCTCGCTTCATCCCGCTTACTCCGTCCAGAGCATTTCCACTTCCTCCCGTCGAATCCCGCTCACTACTCCCAGGCTTAATCCGGCCTGATGTTGCCGAATGTCTTTGCAATCGGGATAAGTGCCCTTCTCTTTCTTATTATTGCGGGGACCTCCCATGAGTTGCTTCCTGAGTCAGGTGGAGGGCTCGAGGGGCGTGCCTGCTGGACTAGCACGTGCAGTGCATGGCTCCCTCGGCGGGCATCGTCAGCTCGCCAGTTGCGAGACTCGTGCTAGTCCTAGTGCTTCACGCGGGAGGATGGGGAGGTAACGGAGAGGGGGAGGGGGGAGGGGGGAGATGGGGGGATGATGGATGATAATGATGGTGGTGGTGGTGATGATGGCGACGATGACGATGGCAGTGACGATGATGATGATGATGATGATGATGATGATGATGATGATGATGATGATGATGATGATGATTATGATGATGATGATGATGATGATGATGGTAATGATTATGATGACGATGATGATGATGATGATGATGATGATGATGATGGTGGTGTTGATGATGATGGTGCTGGTGGTGGTGATGGTAATGTTGATGTCAATGTTGATGTTGATGCTGATGTTAATAATGAGGATGATAAGGATGCGGATGAGGTTGAGGATGCGGATGATGGGGAGATGAAGGATGAGGATGAGGACGCGGCTGCTGCTGTCGATAGTGGTGATGACGATTCTGACGGTGGTGTTGATGATGATGCTCATCCTGGTGACGATGATGATGATTATGATGATGATGAGGATGCTGATGATGATGACTGATGATGTTGGTGATAGTAATCGTGTAGGCGATGACGATGCGGATGATGATGGTGATGGTGCTGGTGATCGTGATGATGGTGATGGCGAAGGTGATGGTGCTGATGGTGATGGTGATTGTCATGTGCTGACGACGGCGATGACGACGGTGTTGATGATGGCGCTTGCGACGAGGAGGAGGATGTTGATAGTGATAGTGATAGTGATGGTTGTGATGATGATGCTGATGCTGAGGCTGATGATGATGATGATGATGATGATGATGATGATGATGATGTCGACGGCGACGGCGACGATGATGATCATGATGATCATCATGATCATGATGATCATCATGATGGTGTCGCCGACTATGACGGCGATACCGCTCATGATACAGATAACGGTGATTATGGCGAGGAATGTTGTTGCTGGGATGACGTATGGTGATGACGGCGATTTGGTGATGCGATGACGACGATGTTTATGAGGATAGCGACGCTGTCTATGGTGGCAATGTTCTGATGATGATGATGCTGATGTTGTTGTTGATTCTGATGATGGTACCGATGACTCTGTTGATGGTGATGACGAGTTTGATGATGACGATGATGTTGATTCTGATGACAACGATGCTGTTCATGGTTACGATGGTGATGATGACGCTGATGCTGGTGATGTCGATGTTAACGGTTACGGTGATGTGCTGCTGGAGATGATGGCATTGTGAATGCAGATGGCGTTGCTGCTGATGAATACAATTTGGATGATGACGACGACGGCGACGATGATGCTGTTCATGGTGATACTGGTGACGTCGCGGAGTAAGACGATGACGACGCTGATGACGATGATGATGTTGACGACGACGACGACAATGATGGTGATGATGTTGATGATGATGTTGAGTATACATATGATGACGATGATGATGATGATGACGCGGATGCTGGCGATGCTGATGACGATGGTGATGATACTCATCCTGGTGGTGATGATTATGATGATGATGACGATGATGATGATGATGATGATGATGATGCTGATGATGATGATGACGATGATCATGATCATGATGATGATGATGATGATGATGATCATGATGATGATGATGATGATGATGATGATGATGATGATGATGATGATGATGATGATGCTGTTATTGTTGTTGATGATGCTTATGCAGATTGTGTGGGCGGAGGAGGAGGACGGTGGACAGGAAGGGGAAGGGGGGAGCAGGTAGCAGGGAGGAGGGAGGAGGGAGCAGTGAGGAGGGAGGCGGGAGAGGAGGAAGGAGGGAGGAGGAGAGGGGCAGCAACGAGGAGGGAGGGTTGGAGGTCCCAGCAAAGCGACTCACGCCGCGCGGCTCGGCTGGCCCCGAGGCTCCATGTTGAGCTCGGAGCAGCCATGCTACTGGTGTGTCTTCGGATCTCCGCAGGCTGCAGGTCATGCTCGGACGCGGGGGCGCAGATACACAAAACGAAGCCAGGACGAGGACACACTCTAGACGCTTCGCGTAACCCTTCAAGCCCATCCAGAGACGATCCCCAGAGGAGTTGCCTCGATCAGGGAAGTGGGCAGCACACAGAGGAATGGTCCCTCATGTATTGGGACACTGTTGTTCGCTCTTTGGGCCGATTTGGGGTTCTCTTGGGCCTCTCTGGCATCTTGGGAGCCTCTTGGCGGTCCCAGGGGCCTCGCGGAGCGTCTCGGATGCCTCGGGGGAGCCTCTTGGGGCTTCTTGGGGGTCTCCTGGGAGCCTCTTGGAGGCCCCTTGTGCGCCTCTTGGGGACGTCTGGGCGCCTCTTGGGGCCCTCTTGGGGTGTTCTTTGGAGCCTTGGGGACGCTCTTGGAGCCATATGGGATGACATTTATCAAAAACGAGGGGTTCCCCAAATAGCGCTGCCCCTCAGGAGCCTCAAAGATCGCCTCCTGGACCCCTCTTGGAGCGCTCTTGGGGCGCTCTTGGGCGCTCTGTGGGCCGTCTTGGGGCTCTCTAGGCCTCTCTTGGGGCCCTCTTGGGCCATCTTGGAGCCATCTTGAGACCTCGGAAGGCTATCGGAAGCGAAAAGGCGACGATGCAACAAACATTGATTTCCTTTGGTTTTGGAAGGATGTTGGCCTTTGGGAGGCTCCTTGGAGGTCTCGGAGGCTTCTTGGAGCCGTCTTGGGGCGGTCTGGGGGCCTTGTGGAACATCTTCGGAGACATTTTGAGGCATCTTAGGCTATCTTGAGCCATCTTGGAGATCATCTTGGGCTCTGCGAGGCGCTCTTGGAGCCGTCTTGGGCCATCTTGAACGCTCTAACTACCAGAACAAAAAAACCCTCCAGGTCCAGGGAAGGGGGTAAGGGGAAGAGTAAACCCCTCCCCAGAGTGGAAGGAGGGGGTTGGAAGAGGAGGGGCCCTAGACCACCTACGCCCTAAAGGGCTGGTAGGATTCGGGTGAGGATAAATGGAGAATCTCTGAGATCTGGCGGCTCTGGAGGATGTCTCGGGCGCCGCGGCCTGCTCAGAGCTAGCCCCGCCCGATACACGCACACCGACCCCCGACGTCATGATTTTGTCATAACATCGACACCCAGAGGTTTAGACCTCTTCCCCAGGACCGTTGTTTCCTCCCGAGTCGTCTTGTTGACGTTCCCGGGGCCTTGTAAGGGCCCCCGGAGGCCGAACATAGCGAAAAGATTCCCGTCGTTTTCTTTGTTAGTTTGTTTTTTTTGTTTTTGTTTTTTTTTCACAGCGCGGGGTACCTGGGTCCCTTGCGCTGTGCACCCGCCCCCTTTGGTCCCTGCGCTCTCTGGTCGGAGGTTCGCGACCCGCCACGACAGCGTCGGCATCCTCACCGAGCTCCCGGAGCGCGGCCCGCGCGACCGCTGGTGTGGGCGGGCGCCCAGTGCCCGCTTCGCTGCGCACCTTTTCTGCTCGGGAGGAACACATCGTGTCCGTTCAGGAGCGAAAGAAGGACGTACATGTACACGAATCCGCGCTGGTTTCGAGAGTGCGCATTGCGCAAATGTTCGTATGACGCGGCGGGTCTCGCGGATCGAGGGGCCGTGTTCATGCACACAGCTGGGCGCGTACGTCCTTTGTGGGCTCCCTATCCGTGGCCTCCGGCAGCAAAGTGTGGGAGCTTTGTTGTGCACCGGCCTGGTGCCCGAGTTTTCAGCGTCGAAGAGCATCGGCTAGCGTCTGGCAGTCGATGAGAGCGAGCGCCGATTTTGCGTCGATGAGCGTGGGCTACCGTCGATTGGCGTCGGTTCCGCGTCGACGAGCGTCGGTTGCGTCGAAGAGCGTCGATTCGCAAGAGCCAGCAGGGTGGTAAGGGCGGCTCCCACGAGTTGCCACAGAGAGACGCACGCCGCCGTTGTGGGCCGCTCGGCGTGGAGCGCTCTCGTTCTTGCCCGGGGGCCTGGTAGCGTCTTCGGCAGCAGGGCGCTGGTGGGTTCCCCCCGGCGGCGTGTCATTGGTGCAGTGCAGGCCCGTGATAAAAAAAAAACAGCCTGCTTGCCTCCAGGGTGCCCCGGGTGTCTCGGGTTTCGATGGTTTTGCTGCGGGAAGCGTGACGCTCCCACGCCTGAGGTCCATGGACGTCCTGGGGTCTCAGGGTTGGGTTTCTTGCGGGATGTTGCTCGTGCCTCTGCGCTCCCTACTGTACCTTTTGCCTCTGCGCTCCCGGCAGCTGCCATCCGCGCGCCGACGCCGCTCCTGGCCAGGCCCGTCTTGTCCTGGGCCCAGGGCTGCCGTGTGGCACCCGGGTCCTCCTTGCCGAGGCACTGAGGAGAGCGTCTATCTGGTTGACCCAAAAGGGGGTCCAGCGAGAAGGGGGCGTTGCAATATGTTTGGTGCAATAGATCTGTGGTGTTGCAATCGATTGGGGGCGTGCAATGCATTCCGGTGCGCATATGGATTACTGGGCTTTCGCGTGCAATGCATGAGTTGCAATACAATGCAATGCAATTTTCTGGCGCGATGCGTTTGCAATACAATTGCCCCACACATACTGCACCACCCCCTGTCAGCTGGACCCCCTTTTGGGTCAACCAAAGGCGAGGACGAAGCTGGACCAGCCGAGAAGGAGGACAGCTTTGGCGTGGGTCGGTGTTCTCATCTGGCCGCCAGTCCTCCTTTCCAGGCATGCTCGCGTCGCGGCGAATCACGACGGGCAGCTCTTGCTACATAGTTTTCGGCCTCCAGGGGCCCTCCCCAGGCCCCAGGACCGTCAAATAACGACTCGAAATGAAGAGCTGGCCCTGGGGAAGGGGTCGCGACTTCCGGGGAACCCGTATTGCACACATCGGGACATCGGATGTCTGAGCTGCCTGGTCTGATCCAGGGACCGATCCTGGACCCTCCCGGCTTGGCCGGTGGAGATGATTTGCGCGCCAATCCAGGGCCCAGGGTGTTCTTGGCGTCACGCGGTTTCGACTCTCAGCCGCGCGCAGAGGGGGGTTGGGGGGAGGGGGGAGGGCTTCTTAGAAGCACCCCTGCTCCTTAGAGGGCGCGGGCCTTATCTAAAGACGCAAGGCCGGCGCCTTCTAAGAAGCAGCCTCCTTCTAAGAATCAGCGAGCGAAGAACGGTATGAAATAAACTTTTTCGCTGTCGGAGGCGTCTGTCCCAGGGCGGCTGGAAAGCTTATACCCCCACGGTGCCACCGCATGTGTACAAACTCTCCAGCCGCCCTGGGACAGACGCCCCCGACAGCGAAACAGTTTATTCTATACCGTTCCTCGCCCGTTAAAAGAAGCCCTGGTGCGCGCCGCCAAGGCGCGCCTCCACCCCCCTGGTGCGCGCCGCCCGTTCCTCGCCTCCACCCCCCTGGTGCGCGCCGCCAAGGCTCCGGTGCAAGCGCCTGCCCCAGGGCCAGCTTTTCTGCCCGAGCTGCGTTTCGTCGGCGGCCCCGGGGCCCGGCGAGGGCCCCCCCCTCCCCCGGAGGCCGGGAGCGGCCAAATCTTGCACGTCGTGTTGCCCTCGTGTTGTTGTTTTGTCGTTGTTGTTGTTGTTGTTGTTGCTGTTGTGGTTGTTGTTGTTGCTGTTGTGGTTGTGGTTGTTGCTGCTGTTGTGGTTGTTGTTGTTGTTGTTGTTGTTGTTGTTGTTGTTGTTGTTGTTGTTGTTCACGGCCTCTGGTTGACCCAAAAGGGGGTCCAGCTAAAAGGGGGAGGTGCAATAGTTTTGGGCACTTGTATTGCAAGTGGATTGCGCCAGGGAGCTGTGCTGCATGGTATTGCAACCGACGTATTGCACGCGAAAGCCGAGCAATGCATTTGCGCCCCGGAATGTATTGCACGCCCCAATTGTATTGCAACCCCACACATCTAGTACAACAAATCTATTGCACCACCCCCTTGTCGCTGAACACACTTTCGGGTCAACCCGAACGGCGCGCGATGGAATGTCGCAGGCCTGGAGGTTGACACCAACACCCAGCTTGGCGGTGTGCCTCCACCGAGGGAAGAAGACCCCGATCTCGGTGACGGTGGTCATGGTCTGGCTTCCAGGGTGGCCCAGATCTTACCACCAACACCGAAATCTAGGATCTTGGCATCGCTCGGACGTGTGCATTTTTCCTCCAGCGAGGACCATCGAGGAGCATCCTTGATCATTTGGCGAAAAAAGCCACGCACGAAACCGAAACAAGCACAGGGAATGGCCGTCCGAGCGATGGCGAGACCACCAACACCGAACTCTGGGATCCTCTCCCCCCTTTGGAGGCACCCCCCCTGTGTTGGTGCTGGTGCCCGTGTCCGGGTCTCCGGGAACACGCTGCCCGCCCCCCCCCCCCCCCCGCGCCAAACGCGCGCCTCGAGCCCAGCGGGCGCCCCCCGGGTCGGCGGCGGGACGTCGTCCTCGCTCGCTCCTCGACCCCCGTCCCTCGCTCGGTCCTCGACCTCCGATCCTCGAACCTCGCCCTCGCAGGGCTCGTTTCTCGACTCCTCCGATGCGATTCGACTCGGTTCCGACGGATCCCGACCCCGGCTCGATTCGGCTTCGGGCTCCGATTCGGGCTCCGTTTCTTTTGCTGGAGCCCTCCTGGCCCGCCGATCTTCGCCGATTCGACGTCTCCCGACTCGGCCGCCGATCTCCGCCGACTCGATCCTTCTCGACCGCCGCTCCGACCTTTATCGACTCGATCCCTGGGCTCTGCCTGTCCTCGAGCCGCGAGCCTCGAGGCCGAGCGTGCGGCCCCCTGCAGCGCCCACCTGGGGCCCTTCGGCGTGCTCCCGGCGCCGCGCGGTGCGGTGTCGGGGTGGGGCGGGGCCGCCCTCTGGTGCACGGCGGGTCGGCTCGGGCCCCGCTCCTCCCCGGGGGCTCTCTCCCGCGGGGTCTCGGCGTTCCCTGGCGTGGCGTGGCCAAGCTCACCACCCACCAAACCACCCCAACCCAACCCGAAGGCTCAAATTTACCGTCGATTTCCAGTGGGGGGGGGGTCGGGGAACATCGAAAAAACACGCGTGGAACCCTTACCCCCCCCAACCCGAAATTCGGGTCTTCGGGTTGGGTTGGGGTGGTCTGGTAGGTAGTCACAAGCAGTGGCCAGGCAGTGGCCAAGCGTCCCGGATCGCCTGTGCTGTGAGGCCCACCACAGAGTGTTCTCAGAAGCTGCTGTGGCTGGCCCGACATGTTCTCAGAGCATGTCTGGCCGAGACTGTTCTGTTTCCACGCGTCAGCTTTACGTTCTAGGGACACTACTGTTGCTCCTAGAACGTTGGTTTGACTTAAGGGAGCGTCGTGGTAAGCCTACAGAAATGCATGGTCTGTCCCTGCTCAATCGTGGTGTTCTCGAGGCCCAAGACTGCCCTCCGAGAGGCGAGATCCTACCCCCATCGGACCTTCCATCGATCACTGCCAGTGGGGCTGTGCGTCTTTCTCGGGTTTGTGTTGTTGTTCTCTCTCTCTCTCTCCCACTCTCTCTCTCCGCTCTTTCTCTGCGCTCTTGCCACACTGCTAGTATATGTGCGCGCATATATTCCCACTCGCTTCGGACTCTTGCCCCGTGATCCAAATCAGTTGCGTGTACAGGTGTTCGCAGCCTCCCGATGGCGCAAGAATGTTCACACAGCCGTTCGCTGGGCAATCGGGACCCTTCGTGATATTCAACGCTTCATGTGCAAAGCCCGCGATGTTCTACTTCTTGTTGCCTTGGAGGGCCAATGGAGTGGTCATTTTTTCAGTCTTCCCAAAAGTTCCGCGCGGGCTGCAAAAAGCGAGGGCCGCCAGGTACTCCCTCACCTTGAGGCGCTTCTTTCCCATTCACCAAACCACCCCGACCTACTCCGAAGGCCCCAATTTGCACTCCATTCCCAGTGGGGGGGGCGTCAGGGAACATCGAGAAATCACGTGTGGAACCCGCACCCCACCCCTCCCTGACCTGAAATTCGGGTCTTCGGGTTGGGTTGTGGTGGTCTGGTAGGTAGTCACACCCTGCGCCAACCTTCTCATTACACCATTCTGGTCGGATCCTCTTCCCGGAGGCCAGAGGGGGTGCAGGTCAGAGTGCTCGGGGCTCAAGAGACGCGGGTCAATGCAAACGGGGGCCAGTCGGAGCGTCGGATCTTGCAGGGTTCTGCAGGGCCAGGGCTGCATTGACCTGGGCTTGCGTGCAGGATCCCGAATCCTGCAGGATCCTGCATAATTTTGCAGGATCTTGCAAGGCCTGGTTGACCTGGGTCTTGATTGACCTGGGTCAGTAGATCCCCGAGGTGGGCGTGGGCGGCGGGTCCGGCCTGCCGCCGTGCGCCGCGAGAGGAGTTCTTCCGCCGCTCCTTTTTCCGGGGCACCCTGCGCTTCACCGTCCTGCGGCTGCTGCTCAGCGCGGGCCCCGGCCGGCTCCTCCTCGCTCCCCTCCTCCGCGCTCCTCCGCCTCGATCCTTCTCCTCACTACCCCTCGCTCCTCCTCGCTCCTCCTCCTTCTCACTCCGCCTCCTCCTCCTCCTGCTCCTTCTCCTCCTTTTTCTCCTCCTCCTCCTCCTCCTCCTCCTCCCTCGCTCCTCCTGTTCGCTCCTCCTCCTCCTCCTCCCGCTCGCTCGCTCGCTCCTCCTCCTCCTCCTCTTCCCTCTCCTCCTCCTCCTGACTCCTCCTGACTCTTCCTCGTTCCTCCTCCTTCGCGCTCCTCCTCCTCGATCCTTCTCCTCGCTCCTCCTCGCTCCTCGCTCCTCCTCCTTCTCCATCCTCCTCCTCCTCCTCTTTCTCCTCCTCCTCTTCCCTCGCTCATCCTCCTCGCTCGCTTCTCCTCCTCCTCCTCCTCCTCCTCCTCCTCCTCCTCCTCCTCCTCCTCCTCCTCCTCCTTCTCCTCCTCCTCCTCTCCTCCTCCCTCTCCTCCTCGTCCCTTTCCTCCTCCTCCTCCTCCTCCTCCTCCTCCTCCTCCCTCCTCCTCCTCCCTCTTCTCCTCCTCCTCCTCCTGCTCGCTCATGCTCGCTTCTCCTCCTCCTCCTGCTGCTGCCGCTGCTGCTCCTCCTCCTCCTCCTCCTAACTCCTCCTCGTTCCTCCTCCCCCGCGCTCCTCATCATCGATCCTTCTCCTCGCTCCTCCTCGTTCCTCGCTCCTCCCCTCCTCCTGCTCCTCCCTCGCTCCTCCTCGCTCGCTCCTCCTCGCTCGCCCTCTTCGCTCCTCGCTCGCTCCTCCTCCTCCTCCTCCTCCTCCGCCTCCTCCGCCTCCTCCTCCTCCGCCTCCTCCTCCTCCCTCCTCCCTCTCCCTCCTCCTCCTCCTCCTCCTCCTCCTCCTCCTCCTCCTCCTCCCCGATCCTTCTCCTCGCTCCTCCTCGCTTCTCCTCGCTTCTCCTCGCTCCTCCTCCTCCTCCTCCTCCTCCTCCACAATTTCTCTATATGAATACTACTCTCCCTCTTCCCCTGATGACGGTTTGAAAGTGCTCGAACCCCCCCCGCGTACTGTTTTTTTACACGCAGGTTTCCCCGTAGTTGGGTTTTCGCCTGCATTTTTGTTCAAAATGCTGCTCTCGCTGAGGCGCCGGCCTCATTTTCGGGCCCCGCTCGTTCCGAATCGTGCTCCCGCTGCAGCGCTGGCCTCATTTCCGTGCTTACGCTCGTTCCGAATCGTGCTCCCGCTGCAGCGCTGGCCTGATTTCCGCGCTTCCGCTCGTTTCGACTCGTGCTCCCGCTGCAGCGCTGGCGTCATTTCCCGTGCCATGCCACGGCATGCAATGCAATGCTAGGTTGATGCTACGCTTTGCGGTGCTCTTCTACGCCATGCCATGCCGTGCTCTGCATGCATCGCGTACCTTTTCGGGATCATTGCCCTGCCCGACATCCGACTGTGCGAGTAGAGAGGGGATCTACGCCATGGTAAGGGATGGGAGGGAGGGGTAGGATGTCAGATATGACGCGAGCGCACCTGGCTTGTCCTCCCCCCTCCCTCCCTCCCCCTCCCTCCCTCCCTCCCTCCTCCCCCCCTCCCCTCCTCCTCCTCCTCCTCCTCCTCCTTCTCCTCCTCCTCCTCCTCCTCCTCCTCCTCCGCCTGGCTCCTCCTCCGCCTGGCTTCTCCTCCTCCTCCTCCTCCTCCTCCTCCTCCTCCTCCTCCTGCCCGCTCCTCCTGCTCGCTCCTGCTCGCTTCTCTTCCTCCTGCTGCTGCTGCTGTTGCTGCTGCCGCTCTTCCTCCTCCGTCTCTATCCTCGCCGACGCGGCCTTTTTGCTGAGTCACTCGGGCATGCCGTTCGCCTTTGGCGGGGACTTCAACGTGGCCTCAAAGGTCCTCCACGAGCATGGGGCCCCAGAGCTACTCCGAGGCAACCTGTTTCCAGCTCCCGGGTGCTGGGGGTCCTGCAGCGGCCCCAAAAGGTACTAAACACTACGATTATTTCTTGGTCTCGGGAGGTCTGAGTAAGCGCGTTAAGGACATCGGCCTTGCAGAGGAGGCCGTTACATGGCCGCGCCTGCCCGTCTGCTTGGAATTCCACAAATCCTTGAACAGCCTGCGCGCCCTGAGGCCCCGCAAGCCCCCGAGGGTCCCTGTGGGCCTGGCTATCGGCCCTGCGTCGAGGCCGCCTTGCTTGGCCCGTACCTTGGAGCTTCTGGATCACATTCGGGAGCAGGTGGACTCTGGGTGTCCGGAGGCAGCTTTTTCGGGATTGGATTCGGCCGACGAGGCGTGGGCCAATCTCAGCGAGGCCGAGCCCTGCAACTTGACCAAATCTCCTGTGCCAGCTTCTGGCGCGAGAAGTGGGCGGCCACGGTGCGAGCGGCACGGCCCGCTCGCCATCGATTCCCGGCCTGCAGGGAGTCAATCACTTCGTCGCGCAGTTGAGGGCGCGGATCGGGCCCCACGGCGCGGGGGGCCCCGACGAGCACCCGGCGGTCAACTCTCGCGGGGCAATTCCGGCGGCCTCCTCGGGACGTTCTTGATCGTTTGGGCCACTGGGCCCACGTTCATGAGCAGGCTGTTCTGTCTCTTGGGCGTCTGGCTACCATGTCTTCGGACGATTGGTGGAGGCGTTTTCCCTGGTCCGACTCCAGGAGGACTTCGAGGGGTCGTCGTCGGAGGCCGCTGCCCACCCGCGCAAGGCGTCTTGGACTTCCTGGCGGCAGTGGGCCCTCGAGGGCGTCGAGAGAGGGGGCAAGCGAGGGCCCCGCGTGTGCACGAGGGGCCCCCCCGGGCCCGGAGGCCGACCACCACGCGGAGCTCCGAGGGGGCCCCGGCCTCGGGTCCGCCCAGCGTCTTGAGGTCCGAAGGTCCTGAAGTTTTTGCCGAGGCGCAGGGCACGGCGTGGCCCAGGTGCCGGGCCCCCAGAGCGTGTTGGGCCGTCCGGCCATCCTGGAGCCCTGGCAGTTCCTTGACCCGCCTGTTTTGCGCGAGCTCGGCCACAGTCCCGCGCGACGGCCGCGAGCGCGGATGGTTTCCACGTGCGCCACGTCGCCTAGCTGAGCGACGACGCTCTTCTGGCCCTGGGGAAGAGGTTTTAGTATTGGGATGAGGGTGTCGGCTTTTTTGACGCAGTGGACGGCGGTTCTCCTGGCCATGCTTCTTCTAAAGTTTCTGGCGGTTTCCAGCCCACCGGGCTGCTTGTTGGGACCTACAGGTTCTGCGTCCGCGGGAGGAAGATCGTCGATTATCCTCACGATCGCTGAAAATGACCCAACACAGCTGTCAGCAGTCGCTCCCATCTTGCGTTGGGGCAAGGAGGTGTGGATCACCGCTAGCAAGGTCGCCCGGCTATCCCTTCCCTGTTCTATGCTCCGTGCTGCGCGTACGGCCACCTTTCACCAGACCGGTAATGCGCAGTTGCAGTGGGCCTGTTGGGGTTCGACTGCGCAGGGTCGACTGGCAACGATTTGCAGCAACAGGTTTCTCTGCTTGCCACCCCGCCTGGCCTCTTGAAGAAGCTGTTGCGTGCGGGTGTTGTGAGATCCTTGGAGCGCTCGGCCAGCAACTCCTTGGGCTCCCCAGACTGGTTGTGCTTCGGTGTCACGGTCTCGGCGCTTTGCTCTTCTAAGGACAAGGTGACCCAGCGGGGCTCCATCAAGGCTGTGCTCTGCGGGGCTACTTGGACTCGTGACACGGCCATCAGTCGCGGGCACCAGTGATGCCCCAAGTGCGTTCTATGTGATGAGCCCGACTCTCTGTGCCATAGGCTTTCGGATTGTAGTGTCTGTCTGTCTGTCGATGTCTCTCGCTTTAATGCTTGTTTTTTGTTGTTTATTCCCCTTTCTTTTTCTCATTCTTTGTTCTCTCTCTCTCTCTTGTTGCTTCTCTCTCTCTCTCTTTCTTTCCCTCCCTTCTACTCAAGTGGCTTACGCCATGCCGCCGACCCCCAGCGGAGCAAAGACGTCCAGGGCGTTCGGTGGGCTGTGTTGGAGCTGCCTGTCTGTGTGTCTGTTTGTCTTATCTGCCTGTCTGCCTGCCTGCCTGTCTGTCTGTATGCCGTTTTGCTTGTTGATTTGTTTTTTATTGTTCCTCTCTCTCTCTCTCTTTCTCTTCATTCTTTGTTATTTGTTGTTGTTTCTCTCTCTCTCTCTCTTTCTCTTTTCTCCTTTTATTTACATATATATATGTTCTTACATGTATTAGTTTTTCATATGTTATAAGCGTATAGTTATATGTTTGTGTGTTCTCTCTCATTATCTTTATCTCTCTCTCTATATATATTTATATGTATAGAGAGATCCTTTCTGAATTGCAGTCCAACTCAGCTTGATCTACATGGGTGAGCACCGAGTCCGCTACACAAAAGCCTCTCCCACCCCTCTCGCTCTCTCTCTCCGGCTCATTCCCTCCCTCCCTCTCCTTCTCTCTCTCTCTCTTTCCCTCTTTCCCTCTTTTGCATGTCGCTGTTGTTGTTTTTGCCTCTCTCGCTCTCTCTTTCGAATCATGGGGCGCCGTTGCGCTTCCGCATTTTCTGCAGTTCCGAGGCGTGTACCTCTTCGCGCACCTGCTCGGGTCAGCCGCGCCCGCCCCTCCGTATGCGCTTCGCACCTCGCCGCTGTCTTGGAGGGCGACTGGCAGAGCACGGTGGGGTCCAGAGATCGACCGGGCTTGGGCCAGAGATTCGGAGGAGGGCGCATGCCAAGAAGCACCCTGCCTGCCTCCAGGGCGCCCTGGGTCTCGTGGGTGTCGATGATTTCGCGATGGAAGGCGTGACGTTCCCACGCCAAAAATCGATGGACGTCCTGGGGTTTCAGGGGTTGGTTTCATGTGGAAGGTTTCTTGTGGTCGGGCCCCTGCTGTACAGAGAGAAACACAGGGCTAAGACGACGATCGCTTTTACGATCGAGGCCCATCCATCCTGTGCCTCTCTTGCACCCCAGGGGCCCACTTTCCATTTCTTCTCTTTCCCGCGTCTGCCTCTCCATTTCGGCCACGTGCCACTTGTCTCCTCGGTGGAGCAGTTGTTGCATCATCGCATCCAACTTGCAGGGGCGAACATTCCCACTCGCCTGCATGCCTATAACATTCCGTGAAGAATATCCGTAAGGGCTTGGCCCCCATGTCGCCGGCCCCCTTCTCTTAGAATGGGACTTGCCAGAGCTGTGTTGGGATGTCTGGGCGCTGACGTTGAGCAATGTCGGGACTTCACGCGAGGGCCAAAAGTATTTTACGAGGGTTTATGGCTTCGGTGGCGTGAACATTAGGTAATTTACGATGGTTCATGGCTTCGCGGACGCGAGTATAGGGTTTGTAACATCGGGGGCGCAACTATGGCGCAATGTACAAAGGTTTATGGCCTCGTGGGCGCAAACATGTGTGTAATGTGGGAAGTTTGATGGCCTCGGGGACGCGAATATTGTATACTTTGCAAGGGTTTGTGGCCTCGGGGACGCAAGTTTGGTGTAATTTACAAGGGTGTATGGCCCTGGGGATGCGAACCTTGTGTAGTTGTCGAAGGTTTATAGCTTCGGGGGCGCGAATATTAAATTATTTACATGGATTTGTGGTCTCGGGGGCGCGAATATTGTTTATTTCACTCGGGTTTACGGGTTCGGGGACGCGAATATTGTGTGTTTTTGCGAAGGGTTATGGTTTCGGGGGCGCGACAATTGCATAATTAACGATGGATTATGGCTTCGGGGACGCGAGCATGGTGTACTTTACTATAAATTATGGCCTCGGGGACGCGTATTTTATGTGTCCCACGCCCCCCCAGGGGTTCAGACAGCCCGATCTGGGCGTGGTAAAAAAGCTGGTTTTGGGCTCCCCCCCTCGCGTGTTCTGCAAGAGCAGAAAACAGGACTGTAACAGTGTGGAAACTGGAAACTGCAACTGGAACAGGGTGCTGCAATCCTCATCCTCGCAGCCTGGTGGCCCCGCAGGGGGGCCGGCGGACATCGCCCTTCGCTCCAGCCGATGGCCATGCCAACATGCCAGGCATGCTCGGCATGCCATACCTCCCGTGGCGCGGAGCTCGCCTGACACGTCGCGCACTCAAACGCGACGAGGCACTCGCGAGCACGAGTGCGAAGGCCGCCGAGCCCTGCTCCTGCCGTGCCACGCTCCGCTCCCCTGCGGGGCCGGGCCGCGGGGGTCCGCGGGCGGCGCCCCGGAGAGGTGCCTGCTCCACGCCGCGGTGAAGCAGCCGGGCATGACGGCCTCGGGCACGGAGGAGGCCAGGGGTCAGAGGAGGACAGGGTGCTGGTACCTCGCAAAGGAAACAACGCCATAAACATCAGCTTTTGACGCTCCGCTCGGATCTCTTGGATCCGCGCCGGGTCTCTCCGGTAGGGCCTCCGGCGCCGTCTCTGGCGCGCTCTGCGCGCCAGGGAGGGGGGTTCAGCGCAGGTCCAAGACATCCGCGCGGAGCGCCAAAAGTTTATGTTTATGCCGTTTTTCCTTCTTCTAGACAAGGTCCTGATACCGCTGCCCTTGCCTCGGTTTCGCCTTTTTGGGTCTCCTGGGGGCCTCTCGTCGTCATGGTTGGATTCGCCTCGAGACTCTGGTCAGAACGCACCCCAGGAGAGATCGGCAAAGTTCAGGGAGGGCTGTCCGGGGTGGGGTGGTCCGGGAGGGTTGTCCGGCTCCTCGCGGGGTTGTCCAAGGGGTTGCCCGGGCCGTGTCGGTTTGCCAGCGCACGCACATGCCTGATTCGCCCATGTCATCAGAAGCATGGCACAGCCAGGCAAACCCAGCTGGAAGGGGCGCCTCTTTTTCCTCCTTCCCTCTTGTTCGTTCCTCCTTCCTCGCGTCTTCCCGTTCCCGCTCGCACATCCTCAATGATTGTTGTTCCCCACGAAGCGTGGCTGGCTGGAGTCGTGTAGTTGTAGAAACTAGTTCCAGCCGCGGGACCAGCACACAAAGACATGCTCAACATGTGGAGGCTTTCTTGCCACGTTCGCTTGAGACATCCTCGTAACGCTGGGCTCACGCATGCCTAGATCTGAGGTGTTCCTGCCAGTTTCGCCTGCGATATCCTCGCAAGTCTGGGCTCGGAGATGCCGCCCACGAGGTGGTTTATCCTCGCAACCTTGGTCTCATAGATGCCCTGACCTCAGGTGGTCCGAGAGAAGAGAGCCACCGGTGACCCCAAAAACAAGGACATGTGACATGCAGGGCATTTCCCTCGCACGTCGGATTCTCGAGGGAAATGTCCCGGGGGGTTGTCAGCCAGGTTGTCCGGGGTGATGTCCAGGGGTTGTCCAGGCGCAATCCTACCCAAGTCCTCTCTTCGGCCTCCTCATTCCTCAGCCTTCAGCCTTCTCCTCATTCCTCAGCGTCTGGCCAGCTTCGCCTGAGACAGCCTCGCAACTCTGGGCTGGCCTGAGGTGTTCCAGCCAGTTTCGCCAGAGGCATTCGCAACTCTGAACGGGAGTGGTGCTGTTGCCTGAGGGCTGACTGCACTCTCGATTGGGAAGTGAGCTGTCGCCCGCGCATTGGATGTCGCTCTCGCCTGAGCGCAAGCCACATCCTTGCTTGAAAAGGGTGCTGAATTCAGTGCGCCAGCCACACGGTGCCCTCGCTCAAGCGTTGGCCGCACATACATGCGGCACTTATGGTCTCCATGTATGTCGGAGGGGTTGTCTGGGGGATAGTCCAGGATTTGTTTATATTTTTCCATACCACATAGTACATCATTTATTGCCACCCCCAAAGGGGGGAGTCCTGAGAAGGGGCTGCGACAGAGCTGGCGTGCCCTTGCGTCGTGTTTTGGCAATTTCTTATTCGCCCTCACCTTGTCGCCCCGTTCCGTCTCCCCTGCCCTCCTCCCCCCCTCCTGCGCCCGCTCCCGCCCGTCCGAGCAGCCATCCATGTGAGGCGACCGCAGAACTGCCAAGGCTGCCAGAGGGACGGGCCAAGATTACCCCCCACGAGTTTTAGACTGGCACAGCCTTCGGGCCGATCGGGAGTAGCGTACGGTAGGTTCACGCAGCGTTGACGCGCCGGCGAGGCCGGCGAAGGCGTTCAGGGACGAATTCCTGCGACGCGGAAGCACCGTTGGACACAGTGACGCCACTGGACCCGACGGAATCCAACCTTGAGCGATCGGGGCCTCGATCGATTCATGGTTGAATGACTGACGCGGAGTCAAAAGCTTCGGCGCACGCCGACGGCGCACGAGCCTGCCGTAACGCGGCTCGTGGCCATGGCGGGGGGGTAGCGTGGGTGGTACCCTTTGGCCCACGACAGGTGCTCGTGCTGCAAGCCGATGGCGCTCGCTCTGCTGACGCCCCCTGCTCGTTGGCTCGCGCGCCGCCGTCCCCGGCCATGCCCGTCTTGCGTTTCCTCCTTGCTCGGGACCGTTCCACGGTTGTGATGTTTCACCAGGACGTGGCAGGACGCAGCAGCTCATCTGGATGCTCGGCACGACCTTCACCCTCAGCGGGCCGGGCTTACGTGCACGGCAGGGGTGTCAGTTCAGATCAGATCAGTTCAGGTCATTCCCAGGAACATACTGAAATTGTGGGAAGTGGAGGGGACGACGAGCATCCAGATCATATGGTAGATATGCGGAATCCTTGGATTGGTGTTTGTTTATTTCTATGTCTTTGGGCAGTCGTCGTTCTGTGCAACTTCTCATCGCCCCATCAAATCTCGAATAAGAAAGATAACGGCACCACTATAAGCCTTCCAGCGGATTTCTTGGATATGTGGTAGACCCCCTGGCGGCACCTCCAGCGCCAGCTCTGGCGCTTGCCGCGCGCCTGGTAGGGGAGTCCAGCGCCGATCCAGACGCTCCGCGCGGAGGTCCCGAGGTGCATGCTGTCTCTAAAGTCTGCACCGCCCCTGCTGCTTGACCCCTGCCCGTGAGGCGAGCGGCGCCTACGTCGAGGCCCGCCCGGCGAGACTCTGCTCCGTGGTGCGTGAGGAGTATCTGATGGTGGGCTCAGCTCAGAAGCAGTGGCAGGGGAGACGTGGATGGGGGACGCGACAGACATGTATGCGAATCGATCTCTGTTGTTCCTCGCATGCCGTGCAGTCGCCGACGACGCCGACGGCGGCGGCGGCGGCGTCGACGACGACGACGACAGGCTTCGTGCAGTCGGGCGGGAGGATTGCGACCGCGTCTCCACGGGCTCTCTTTCTGCCTGCGCTTCTCTCTGCGCACGGGCTCGGCCGTTTCCCCCCCGCCCAGATCGGCCTCCTCGCCCACCTCGGTGCGGGCAGCAAGCTGCTCGCGCGGTCATGGTAAAGTTCTCTCTCTCTCTCTCGCCATGCCGCCTCCTCTCCTCCAATCCTCCTCCCCTCTCCTCCTGCTCTCTCCTCCTCCCCCCCTCTTCTCCCTCGTCTTCTCTTCCGCTCCGTCGTCCTCTCCCCCCTCTCCCCCTCACTCCTACTCTCCTCCCTGCTTCTCTCCCGTTCCCTTCCCTTCTTTCTCCTCTCGTCTCTACTTCTCTCCCCTCCTCTCCCTCCTTCCCTCCCCTTCTCTCCTCCTCTTCTCCTCCCTCCTCCTCGCCCCTCCTCTCTCGGGGGGAATGCAGCGTATGGCCTGGGCGCACCTAGCCTGTCCTCCTCGCCTCTTATCCTGAGAGCTCGACCCAACATGTACTTTGGTTATATCGTGTGCCGTGTTGGTCTCGCTTCCGTTTGGCAGCAAGGGCGGATCGAAAATCAAACGAAGGCTAGCGACAACAAGACGAACACGGACAACATTGTTCATGGCAGGCAAGACGCGGGTCCTGAGGGAAACCCTCCGCGGGACCAATCGTTCGCCTTGATTCGGTTTTTGTTTGCCAGTCTTGGGGCCCATAGAGGCCCCTGGAAGCCTAGAAGCAGCGAAATACTTCAGGACTCGTTTCCCTCAGGACCGTTGTGCTTCCTGGCGATGCACCCCCCTTCGCCTATCCTCCTCTGTCCTCTGGCTTTGCATTTTTGCATTCCTCAGCGCAGAAGCGCGCAGCCCTGCCGCGCTGTTTCTGCCCGCCGGTGCTCTGAACCCGGCCGGCATCCTCTCCTGGGTCCAGCTGGCTTAGGATGCTTTCCATGGGCTGCTATAGTGTCATTGAATTGTGGTTCTTTTTTCGATGGATATCGTCTCGATAGCGACCCGATCCTGTCTGTCGTCCTCGTCATCATCATGATCATCATCATCATCAAAGGCCGCCGCGCGCTCAGGCCATTGATGGAGCAGCGGCCTCCAGTCACCGCCCCCTCGCCCTGCCCGAAAGGCAGGGGGCCTCTTGACGATGCCCCGCGCACCGCCATGCCGCCATGGACGTGCTCCGGAGCGCGGGCGCCGCGCACCTGCTAAGCACAGGACTCGCTCGCTGACATCAGGAACATGGACGAGCGCATGGCCCAAGCACCTGACCACCAGCCAGACGACGATGCCGATGCTGAAGTATTACGACACGCTGACCCTGAACTACTGGACGCTGAGCTTCAACAACAACATCCTCACGAATACAGAGGGCCAGCACAGGCAGGATCACACCATGCGGCCCATGAGTTGCCACCAGTGGAACCATTGCACGCTGAACGTGACTTGCCACTTGGACTACTACCCCCACACCCACACTGCGAATGACTACTGGACGCTGAGCATCAATCCCAACATCATCACGAACATACAGGGCCAGCACATGCAGGATTACGACACGCGGACCCTGAGCGACTGGACGCTGAACGTCAATTTCAACATCTTCACGAACACAGAGGGCCAGTACGTGCGGGACTGGACGCTGGGCTACATCTCCATGAACACCGAGGGCCAGCACATGAAGGATTACGACGCGCTGACCCCGAACTACTGGACGCTGGACCACTACCTGCACACCCAGCTCGCGAATGACTACTGGACGCTGAGCGTCAATTCCAACCTTTTCACGGACATAGAGGGCCAGCACATGCAGGAGTACGACGCGCTGACCCTTGACGACTGGACGATGAACTTCAATTTCAACGTCTTCACGAACACAGAGGGCCAGTACGTGCAGGGCTACACCACGCTGCACCTGAACCGCCACCAGTGGAACAACTGCACGCTGGACTTGAATTGCCACCTGGACTTAAAGGTCGACATGAACGTGACCCTGGTGACGAGCGCCCTGATCATCAATTTCCAGTCCGACGACCCACCCACTTCTCTTCAAGGCCCATCGAACTCACCATCATGCTCCTCGCCTTACAGCACCTGATGCGCACTGGTGTTCCAAGGGCAGGAATGGGACATGACACTGCAGATTATCAATGCGCGGACCCGCTCGCTGAGCGAGTCTATCACCCCAGTCGACGGAAGCTCGAGATCGATCACGACGTCAGCTCCACCATCATCCAGACTTTCGACATCGGCAAAAAAAAGGAAAAAAGCCCCGCTGGCAGTGTGCTTCAGGACATTCATGCATGCGTACGTTTATCTCACTGTTTCGACCGTTTATGGCTATTGTATATGAGGATAGGACTCATACAGAATGAAACTCAACACGCACAGAACATTGGTAAGCAGGACGCCCTGGCCTCGCTGGGCATTCACGGGGCTACGAAGAAGGCCGAACGGAACATCAATATCATGCAGTTAGACATTTACGACGAGCATGGCAAGCAGGTATATGCCATCACGCAGGAGCAGGAAAGCTACGAGCACATTATGGACTCCCTCAGGAAGAGCGGCCCCCCAGAGGACAAGAAATGCCTGCAGGGGATAGGGTCGCCAGCTCCGTCCCGCGCGCTGACGGCCCTAGAAGGACTGTGCAAGTGCGACGTGGGCGGCTCCATGAAAGGTGCCATCGAGGACATCGAGGCGGAGACGGAGATCAGCAAGGAAGATATCCTCGACGCCATCAACTTCGCGCGCCTGGAAAAGCGCTACGACCACGACAAGACGAAGCTGGTGATCGGCGCGCTAGGCGCGCCCATGTGGGAGGCCCAAATCCTGATCAGCCGCGCCCTCGAGGCCGAGGGCCAGGCGGTCCACCACCGAGACGTGGGCCCAGTGGGCTGGCTCGAGGAGGAGGAGGCTAGAGACGCTCGAGCAGTGAGCCCGTCTTTTTCTGCCAGAGCGAGCCTGCAGGCCACAATGCAGGCCATAGCGGAGAGGAGGCGTTTCAACGCTGCGTCAATTTCTTTCGAGGCAAAGACCTCCCTGCCAGCAGCGGCGCGGTCACGGCCGGCCAAATGCCCTCCCTCCTCTGTCGTGCCTCCACTCCCCCCTTGCCGTGCCAGCACATCCAGAGGAGCAGTGTGAGGGGGGGGCCCCACCTGAGCATGATACAACCGCCGAAGAAGAAGCGGCCGAATATCTCAGCTAGCATTTCGACGCTGCTTGGCACGCGCTGCAGCGCCCTGGCAGTCTGGCCCAAGCGGGGCAACGCGAGACAGTCGGCTCTCTGCGACGGATCACTTTAAATCTGGTATCATTGTACACCATATCCTGATATCAGATGTTGGTCCTGACGTCGAGGACAAACAAAGCATCATCATCATCATCATCAGCATCATCATCATCATCATCATCATCATCGTCATCATCATCAGCATCAGCATCAGCATCAGCATCATCATCATCATCATCACATCACCACCAGCATTAACATCGCTATCACCACCACCATTGTTTCCATCATAATCCTCCTCGCCATCATCGTCATCATCATTCTGCTGCTGCTGCTCGCCAGCTGCTGGCACCTCCGCTTCCCGTTGGCACGTGCTGCGGTTCGGCGGTGCGCGCCGGCGTCTGGCCCTCGGCGCCCTCTCCTCGGGTGCCGGGGAAGCCGTGCCGCCGTGGTCTGCGCAAGCTCTGAGCACGCGCCACCCGGTGCTTCATGGCTCACGACGGCTTTGGCGTCAGGTCGAGCGTGCCCCTCTGCAGGGGGACGCTGGTCAAAAGCAGTGAAAAGGAGCTGGGGGACGATGCTTCGACTATTGTTGGTCTACTGTTGAACACTGTTTCGATTCTGTTTAGGTCTTTTTTTTCCAAAGCCCGCCCGTAGGGGGGGGCCACGCCCGCCCCACATTTGGTGGCGCAGATGCACTAGACTCCGCGTGCCGCGCTCCTTCAGTTCATCCTCTTGGACGGCTCGACCGACCACGAGACACTCGGGCGTTCGAGTTCCAGGAGGGTGATCGTTTTTCAAGCAGTGGCGAAGCGTCCCGGCTCGCCTATAGACCTGCCAAACAATGTTCTAAGAGCCTTTGGTGGTGTCCACGAAATGTTCTCAGAACATTTCTGGCGGAGGCTGTCTTGTTTTATCACCTCGGGCTTATGTTCTAAGAAGATTGTTGTTGTTCTTCGAACATGGTTGGTTCTAAGAACATTTCGGGGTAGGACTATAGGAATGCCGGGACGGTCGGTCCGTGCTCAAGTTTTCTCATTCATTGTTTTGCCGATCGGCGCGGGCCCTCGCCCCCCCCCGCCCCCCCCCCATGGAGTAGATCTTGGCTGTTTATGGCGTCTGTTACGAGCAGGTGGAACCCCTCCCCCACAGGACGCCCTGCTGCAAACAGTCGCACTAAGCAGGGGTCCAGAGCCAGACCCCCCCCCTCCTCCCCCCCCTCTTCGCCCGATGTCGAAACGCCAAATAAGAAAATGCTCACTAGGAAGCCACCCGGGAAGCCAGTGGATGTCGGGCGGAAATTGTACGGACCCCGCCAGGACTCGAGAGACGAGGGGTTGCCCGCAAGATTTCGCAAGTACGGCGGGCCGCGTCCGAGTATTTCCGAACATTGGTTCCCCGTGTGGCGCCGCTCGGCGTTGGCTCTCCTGGGCCATATCTGCCAGCTGATTCTGAAATTGGACAGTGGATGCACCAGGCTCTCGTTGTTACTTGTTGCCAAAGTGCCCGCATGTTTCGCGCATCGTGATCTGCGAGGGGAGAGTATCCCAATAAGTGATTGGTGTGCCTCGCAAGGATTCGTTGACCCTGGGGTCGCAGCTGCGATCAATCGACCGTCGTGGTCGCGACGAAACAATGTACCGCGGTAGCGGGCTTGCTCTGCAAGCTTCCTCGCCCATCCCAGGTGGGACCGAAACCATAAGGTGGGGTTGGGTGGCTCTCCTTTCAGCTTCTGGCATGGGCCAGGGTTTCGGCAGCCGCTGTGCGTGACAGACGTTTATCGGCCACGCGTCCAGGACGCTCCGGGCAGTTCATGCGCCGCGCCTCGCTCCCTTTGGTATCCCTTCTTCTTCTTCTCCCGAGATCGCGCTGGAACAAATCAAACCTCTTCTCCTCTACCCTCCCTCCTCCCATCACCCCCTCGTCGGCCACGCGCAGTGGGGGGGTAAGGGGGGAGGGGGGAAGGCTTCTCAGAAGCACCCCTGCTCCCTAGGAGGCGCGGGCCTTCTCTCTATAGATGGTGGGCCGGCGCCTTCCAAGAGGCAGCCTCCCTCTGAAAGGCCTTCCCCCCTCCCCCATAACCCCCTGTGCGTGCCGCCAACTCTCGTGCCCCGTCCCGCATAGCACGACGACGAGGACGACGAGGACGACGAGGACGACGATGACGACCCGCGGCCCGCCGAAAAGAAAATAGGGCGGGCCGCGGCGCGCCGGGGCGCTTGTTTGGTGGGGCATTTGCCGCGGCGCCTGCCATCGAGCAGTGGCGAGGCCTCCCGGCTTGCCTGTAGGCCCACCACGGAATGTGCTAAGGACCTGTCGAGGTTTGCACGACGTGTTCTTAGGACCTGTCGATGTCTGCACGACATGTCTTTCGAACATGTCTTGCCGAGAGTGTCTCGTTGGAACGCGCAGGGCCTGTGATCTAAGCACATCAGTTTAGTATGAGAATGTTGTCCGGGCTCTGAGAGCATTTTTCGTGGTGGGCCTATAGGAGTGCCAGGACGGTCGGTCCCTGCTCAATTGCCCAGACATGTGGCTTCTCGAATTTTTCGAGACGCGGGCCCCCGACCTCTCGACCACTGCCCGGGGACGGTTTTTTCATCCTGAGTCGTTTTTGAACGGTCCCGAGGCCCCGTAATGGCCCCGAGAGGTCGAAAACGACGAACAGTCGTTGTCTCGATGTTTTCGGGACGACAGATGTCTGGCTCCAGGCACTGAAGCTCTCGATGAGCATGATGTTCTCAGGGAACCTCTACGAGGCCTGGGAGCAAGGCGGAGCCGCTGCGGGGAGAGCCCCAGCAGCCACGCTGCCACTCCTCCTCCGCCGCCGCCTCCTTTCCCGCCTCGCTCGGTGCTCCTCCTCCTCCTCCTCCACCTCCTCCTCCTCCTCCTCCTTTCCCGCCTCGCTCGTTCCTCCTCCTCCTCCTCCTCCACCTCCTCCTCCTCCTCCTCTCCTCGGCCCTCTCCTCTTCCCTCCCTCTGGCGGGGAAAACCGCACACAGACAGAATCCATCGTCGATCCCCAGGAAAATAGGAGACATGGGGGGAAAGACGGACGTCCACAAAATATATGAGAAAGAATAGGGGATCTTGGGATTTGTGTGTGCGCATTGCTTTATGTGTCCCCGGGCCCCTTCCTCCCCCCTCCTACATGGCCTGTGCTTCCCGTGGTGGCGAGGCGCCGCTCCCTCAGTGGAGGAGCTGGCGACATTTTCGTCCTCTCTGCATGCTTGGCTTGTGTCGGGCCTGTCCCCCTACAGGGGTATTTTTCATTTTTCGTCGAACATCCCCCTGTAGGGGGACAGGCCCGACATATTGCTTGGCCCACGGGAAGGGACACAAAAACACACGAGGCCCCCGGGAGCCCTGCGGGCCCCGCGAGCAACGCCGCTCCCGTCGTCGATGTTCTCCGGGGCCCGAAGACTCAGAGGAGGGAAAAGGTACCCATACCGCTACCCCAGACCCCCTCGCAGAGGTTTTGCACTGTGTTCGGCCTCGGGGGGCCCTTGCTGGGCCCCAGGACCGTCAAAAAACGACCGAGGACGAGAAATTGGTCCCGGGGGAATGGGTCGAAACCTCCACGGGCCGACATCATAGCCAAAATCATGACGTCAGGGGTCTGGGTATACCGCTACCCTGCTCTCGCTTTTCCCCTTCCTGGGCCTCCCGGGCGGGCCCTCGTGGCCACCGCTGGACTCGCCTCGAGATCCTGGTCGGGACGCACCCCGGGAGAGGTCCGGGGAGTGGCGATGTGTGTCAGTACCTCTATATGGTGTTCCCCCACTCGGGGACGGGAAAGAGGGAGGTGATGACTAGGGGGGGGTGGATATTATGGCGGGGGCCATGATCCCCAGATTTTACAGAGCCTCTTCTTGTTTCATTGCGTCCCTGGCCCCCCCGGTGGGCCGCGCACATGCCGCCGGTCATGATTTGCACCCCCCCCTCTTGGACACCCCCCTCTTGGCCGCTCCCGACCCACACGAGGTGCCCCGGGGGCCCGGAGAAGCTGCCCCCGCAGAGTCTCCATCCGTGGCGACGAGGGCGCTCCGGGAAGCGCAGCGGCCTCGGCAGCGGCATGCCCTCCTCCCCCTTTCCTCGTCTCCCTCCTGCTCCTCCTCCCTCGTCTCCTCCCTCCTCCAGTTCCCCCCCGTCTTCCTCCCCCTCCGCCTCCTCCTCCACCTCGTCCTTCTTGTCCTCCTCCTCCTCATCCTCCTCCTCTTCCTCCCTTGCTCAATCTCCTCATCCCTTGCTCAACCTCGCCTCCTCCTCCCCCGTCTCCTCCCTCCTCCTCCAGTTGCACCCCGTCTCCTCCGCTCCTTCCCCCATCTCCTGGGGGGAAGGAGACATACGGATACCGCTGCTGCCTGGACCTCTCCGGAGGTGCGTGCAGGCGAGACTTTCGGGGAGAGTCCGGCGGTGGCAACGAGGGCAATTCCCAGAAGCGCGGCGGCTTCGGCAGCCCTCCTCACCCCCGTTCCCTTCTCCCTCTCCTCCTGCTGCTGCTGCTGCTGGCGGGCGGCGAAGCCCGCGCTCCCCTGGAGATACCCTGCGACTTGTGCAGGTCGTCTCCAAGCATCGTGCGGGGGATCACCACCCACCAAACCACCCCAACCCAACCCGAAGGCCCAAGTTTATGCTCGATTTCCAGTGGGGGGGGGGTCGGGGAACACTGAAAAAACATATGGAATCCGTACCCCCCCCAACCCGAAATTCGGGTCTTCGGGTTGGGTTGGGGTGGTCTGGTAGGTAGTCAGGGGACTGTTCTGGGAGCAGTTTTAAGTCGGGCCTGTCCCTCTACAGGAGGACATGGCAAGAAATAGTGAAATATGGTAGGCGGATGTCTTCTTCGATGTTTTAAATGTTGAACTCTCGTTTAACCATTTGTTAATCTTTCCACGGAAATCCGCCTGTAGGAGGACATACGGTAGGTTCGTATCGTGTCGACCGGCGGCGACCCTGCCGCCGGCGTTCAACGTTGAACGCCGGCGGTGGTCCAGAATCGGTCGATGTTGATCGATTGGACGTTGCGGAAACGGCCGATCGTTCAAGGTTGAACGACCTCCCCGGTGTCAGGAACCAACGCCCGGGTCGACACGACACGAACCTGCCGTACCCGACCCAGGGGTAGTGTTTCCTCCCGGATCCATGTTTGACGGCCCCGGGGGCCCGACCACAACCCCCAGAGGCCAAAGCAAGCAGTCGTCAACGCGTTCGAGAGCCAGTTTGAAGCCGGGCCTATGTCCCTCGACAGGAGGAATATTTTCAAACACAGTAAAAATATCAATCTTGGGCCGATGTTTCGGTTATTCTCTGAATATCCTTACATTATTGTTGGCAGAAATTTGTTTTCCCTTCCAAGATCCGCCTGTAGGAGGACATACCCGACCTAACGCTAGCGGCCGCCAATGCGTTCGAGTGCCAGTGTTGAGTCGGGCAGGTCCTTCTGCAGGAGGAATATTAAGAACTAGTCAAATCAATAGCCTGGGGACGTTTTTTCGAGCATTGTTTGGCTATTTTTGCGTATGTTTCCTTTCAACATCTATGTTTGGTTTTGTATGCTTGAGTATGTTTGTTTTGTTTGGTAATCTCGGCACGCCGCGACAGCTGGAGGCAATCTCGGCACGCCGCGACAGCTGAAAAAAGAAGAAGATGGCGGCCGCGGCAAAAAAACAGAGCGACGAACAGGTGAGCTTTTTTTACTCCTTCTTCTGCCGATCGGCGCGGGCCCCTGCACCCCCCCCTTCCCCCCCCCCCCGTGGAGCAGTTCTTGGCTGCTTTTGGCGCCTGTTTCGAGCCGGCGGGGTCTCCCCCCGTAGTGGGCGCCCTGCTGCAAGACAAAATCGCACTGACCAGAGGTCCGGGGCCAGACTCCGCCCTCCTCCACCTTGGCATCGCTCGGACGTGTGCATTTTTCCTTCGGCGAGGACCATCGAGGAGCATCCTTGACCATTTGGCGAAAAAACCACGCACGAAACCGAAAAAAACAGGGAATGGACGTCCGAGCGATGGCGAGCCCCCCCCCTCCCGCCCAATGTCGAAACGCTGAATAAAGATCCTTCACCAGAGAGGGCCTCGCACATGGGGTCCGAGTAGACTGAAGTCGGGCCTGTCCCTCTACAGGAGGAACATTCCAAGATAGTCGAGCAAAAATAGCCTGGGAACTATTTTTTGAGCATTCTTCGACCATGTTTGAGCATTGTTTTTTTTCGTCTGTAGGGGGGCATGCCCGACCTAAGAGTAGATGGGGTCGGAGGATCGCGCCACATCGCCGATGCGTCGTTGATGCGTCGCCGATGCATCGGCGACGTCGGCAGTGCATCGCCGCCGAGGGCGTGGAGAAAGTCGGGCGGTGCGGCGTGATGCTCCGACGCGGGTAAGTCAGCTCGAGGGCACGAGCCCTGGGGTGAACCAGGACTACTCATTGTGCTGGCTCTCGATGTCCTTGGCATGTTGCTTCTTGTTGCTATCCGCTGTCGCTGCTACTTGTCCTTTCTCCTGTCTCCTCCATCTCTCTCTATCCCTCTAGGCCTCCTAGATGGGGTCGGAGTAGATGGATTCGGATGCTCGTGCCGCTGCATCGGCGATGCATCGCCGATGCGGCTCAGTGTGGAGCTCGGTTTTCTCCACGGCGGCGTCGCCGATGCGTCGCCGGCGTCGCCGATGCATCGTCGATGCATCGGCGATACATCGACGATGCATTGGCGATGCAGCGCGATCCTTCGACCCCATCTACTCCGACCCCATCTAGGCTTTAAGTCGAGCACGTCCCTCTACAGGAGTAATATTCAAAACTAGTCAACAGAATAGTCTGGGGACGAGTTAGCATGTTTTACATTTGTTTACCATGTTTGGGATCTGTTTTATTGTTCGTCGAAAACTCCTTGTAGGTGGACGTGCCCGACCTAAATCTAGGAGGCCTCTACTCTTTGTCTCTCCCTCTCTTTCTCATTCTTTCCTGCGTCGCTGTCCCCCTATTTGCTCTTACGGTTGCCGCTCTGTCGTCGCATCTGCTTCCCAACCGGGCGAATCTCGCTCGGGTGGCCCAGGTCCAGCAACTGCCCGTCGGAGCGAATCTCGTTCCCCCATCCGAGCGAATCTCGCTCATGCTTTCCCACCCGTCCAGCGAGTGCCCGTCGGAGCGACTGCTCTGGCTTTCCCATCCGAGTGGATCTCGCCTCGTGTCCCGCTTCCAGCGACTGGCAGTCGGCGGCCGCGGTCGTTGTTCGTGGGCGCGGGTAGTGCGGTCTCGTATGCACATTGTCGATCGTGCGGTGAGAGCATCGAGGTCGCCTCGGGGAGGGTACCCTCATGTTCTTCGTGCTTGTCACATGTTCGTGTGAATCCTGGGGGAGGGTACCCCTCGCATGTTCTTCAGCTCGGCCAGGGGCAGGAGGAGGAGGAGGAGGAGGAGCAACAGCAGGATGACGCTGACCCCCGATGAATTCTAGCACTTCTGCCAACCTTCATGAGACACTTGGGGCAACGCGGGCGTGTGGCACCAACGTTCAGTCGGGCCTGTCCCTCTACAGGAGGAAAATTCAAACATAGTCTGGGGACGATTTGTCGATTATTGTTCGACCATTTTCAATGGTTTTGTTGAACGATTTTTCATGGTTCTTCCAACATCTGCATGTAGGGGGACATGCCCGACCTACACTATCATCATCAGGGAGGATGAGGGAGGAGGAGAAGTTGGGAGGACTAATCTGTGGATTCGCCGTCCAGGTGGCTTTGCAAAGTCCCAGATAGTTTCGGAACGCCTCGGATGGCTTGGGGCAGACGTGGATCGCCGCTCGGCACCAGCAGCCGCCGATGGCTTCGGATGTTTCCGTGCCGAGCACGGACACCCAGGCCGGTGGGCCGAGAAGGCGTCTTCCAGTTCTCGACATGACGGATGGTGATCGGCAGCCCTCCGAGGGACCGTTCCCCAGGAAGAGTAGTGGCGCAGAGTCGCCCGCGGCATCGCACAACAAAGGGCCGCGCGGACATGATCTCTCGGAGGCCCGCGCCGGTTTCTGGGATCGGCGCTGGGGCCCCCCTTTGGGCGGCAGCTCCAGCGCCGCCCCTGGGCGACTCTGCTCGCCAGGCCAGGGGGGGTCCCGCGCCGATACGAAGATTCCGCGCGGACGTCAGGGGCATTCTTGTGCATGCCGTCCTCTGCTCATTCAGCAGAAGTCTCTCGGACGTTCGCCCCGCCTTCGTTCTTATACAGTCGGGGAGTTGACCTAAGGAACGATAAATAGGGAACGAGGCCCCTTTTTCCCATACATTAAACTCCGATGTTCCATGGAAAACCTCAGGAAAACCCAAGGAGCACTGTAACGCAACTAAGGAACACGGAGCCCCTCCCCAACAAAAAGGGTTCCTTCTTCAGGGCCCCGACTGTACGCCGCGGGTTTGCCGCTTCCCCCTCTCGGCCGTGGATCGCGGTGCGCGCGAGCTGCCTGTGGCTCCTTCCGCCCTCGATGCAGGCGGCGAGAGCGACGGCGGAAACCGGGCCGTCCTCTTCTACGTCATGTTGATGTCGCCCCGCCGTGCGAGGGGAGACACGAGGGAAGGGTGCGGCAGGGGGAACTAAGAGGAGGGCGAACCGAAACAACGGTAGTTGACCTTCGAGAGGCCCCCGCGTCGCCACGGCTTGACGCTGCTCGGGAAATTGGTGCGTTGGGTCCCTATGAGGGGTCCAGGGCCCGTTTTGAGTTCCCGTTCTCTCAAGTCGCCCTCACAGTTTACGACCCGTTTCATTTCATCGAGGAAGCAAAACCGGCATAACATACATTTTCGGAGCTCCGGGCGTGGTTTCTCGGATCGGCGCTGGGCCCCCCTTGGCGGCGCCTCCGGCGACGCCCCTCGCGCGCTTCGTGCGTCATGGAGGCGGGTCTAGCGCCGATCCGAGGAATCCGCCTGGAGCGCAGCAGTTATGATTGTCAGGGTGAGGGGGCCGAACGGTCATTTACTGTCCCAGGGCGCGTGGCTTAAGTGAGGTTCCGCGGTGCTGCTCGTTGCTGTGCTGTTGCTGTCGTCGTCCTCGCCCGCGACCCCGCCGCTGGCACCCCGCGACCCGCGACCCACCCCGCGCCCGCCCCCTCACCCGTATCCGCAACTGCGGGGTGCGGCGCGTCTTCGTTCTTCCTCCTCTGGGCTCGAGGGAGGGTGCGCCATCAACGGATCGGGGGTCGCCAGCGATCTCTCACCCCCGATCCCCGAGTCCCCCTCCAAGAAGCCGGCCGTTCAGAAAGGAGGGGCAGCTCGGGGATGCCCCTCTCATGGGGCTACAGTCGGGGCCCTGAAGAAGGAATCCTTTTCGTTGGGGAGGGGCTCTGTGTTCCTTAGTTGTTTCGCAGTTTGCCTCTGGTTTTCCTTATGTTTTCGATAGAAAATCGAAGTTTAACTTATGGAAACAAGGGGCCTCTTTCCTTATATAGGGTTCCTTAGGTTAACGCCCCGACTGTATTCGGACACACCCCTTATCTCAGGCGACCGCAAACATGGATCAAGGGGGCGTGGATTAGCGACGGGTCCCACTTTCCTTGGGAGATCGCGGATCTCCGCCGCCGAGCGAGGTGGCACCGGCCGCATTTTGGGCAGAGCATCGCTCCCGATCCATGGATTTGGCGACCGCGCGCTAAATCCATGGATCGCTAGTCCATGTTTCAGTGCCCCCGATTATCGAGGATGCCCCAGTGTTCTGGCCCACTGGAAGCCCCGCAGAGTCAGGGATGGAGGTCGCCATGCCCCCCTGTTTGGGGGTTGTGAGTCGGGGAAGCGGGTGCGCAGCGGACCATGACCATCGGGTTGAACTCGAGTCATCGCGAGCGTATAGGTTGCGAGTGGGCTCCTGAGCGTGTAGGTTGCGAGTGGGCTCCCCGATTGTCCCCTCGCAGTGTTTGCAGTGAGAGGTTCTTCCGGAATTCGCCACGTTTTGGGCCGTGCTTTTCATGCCTTGGGCCGGTGGGTGCAGTGGGCGTCCCATGTCAGTCAGGAGCGAACAAAAACACAAAGACACAATTAGTCGTCGACCCCCAGGAAAATATGGGAAAATATGGGAAGTGGGGGGGAAGACACAAACCCGAAAATATAGGAAAATATGGGGCATCTTTTTATTTGTGTGTATTCATTTGTGTGTCCCAGGGCCCCTTCAGTGTTCTCTTCTCTTCGACTGGTGGCCCCGCGTGGGGCGACTCGTGGCCGCCTCGTGCGCTGGATGGCGCGCCTGGGTCTTCGGCCGGTCACCGCCCGCGGCCGCCTCGTGGCCTGCACCACTCATGATGCCACTGCACAGCCTGCAGCCTACAGATAGCACAGCGCACGCTGCACCCTATAGAGAGAGAGAGAGGGGCCGACGTTCATCATTGCTCGACGCACGCGCGTACATACTCTAAACAATATACACATAAAAGTATTTGAGTTAGATATTCATTTGAATCTATCGGAATATACAGATAACGGCGCCCGGGGGCCCCGGAGGCTCGTCGGGGCTTGCCGGAGGCCTCCCCAGTCAGACAAGACGGCCCCAGAAACGCCCAAGACGGCCCAAGAAACTTCCAAGAGGCCTCCAAGAGGGCTCCGAGATGCTGAAGATGGCCTCCAGACGCCCAAGGACGCTCCCCAAGACGCCCCAAGAAGCCTCCAACATGCGTCCCAAGAGGGCCCCTAGACGCAAAAATTGGCCCATTCCCTTCGTTAAACGTACATTTTTCACAAAGTTGCCTTTTGGGCTTTCCGACATTACAGGACGGCCCAAGAGGCGCCCAAGACCGCCCCAAGACGGCCCAAGAAGCTCCCAAGAGTGCCCCAGGACAGCCCAAGAGGGCCCCAAGACGGCCCAAGAGGCGCCCAAGATGGCCCAAGAGGGCCCCAAGACGGGCCCAAGAGGGGGCCCAGAGGGGGACCACGAACCGCAAGCTCGAGCCTTCCGCCCCAAGAGGCCGCCAGGAGGCCCCCAGGAGGCCCCTCAAGAGGCCCCAGGAGACCCCAGACGTCCAAGGACGCCCCCAAGAGGCCCCAAGAAGCCTCCAACATGCGTCCCAAGAGGGCCCCTAGACGCAAGAATTGGCCCATTCCCTTCGTAAAACGTACATTTTTAACAAAGTCGCCTTTTGGGCTTTCCGACGTTACAGGACGGCCCAAGAGGCGCCCAAGACCGCCCCAAGACGGCCCAAGAAGTTTCCCAGAGGGCCCCAGGACAGCCCAAGAGGGCCCCAAGACGGCCCAAGAGGCGCCCAAGATGGCCCAAGAGGGCCCCAAGACGGGCCCAAGAGGGGGCCCAGAGGGGGACCACGAACCGCAAGCTCGAGCCTTCCGCCCCAAGAGGCCGCCAGGAGGCCCCCAGGAGGCCCCTCAAGAGGCCCCAGGAGACCCCAGACGTCCAAGGACGCCCCCAAGAGGCCCCAAGAAGCCTCCAACATGCGTCCCAAGAGGGCCCCTAGACGCAAAAATTGGCCCATTCCCTTCGTAAAACGTACATTTTCAACAAAGTTGTCTTTTGGGCTTTCCGACGTTACAGGACGGCCCAAGAGGCGCCCAAGACCGCCCCAAGACGGCCCAAGAAGCTTCCAAGAGGGCCCCAGGACAGCCCAAGAGGGCCCCAAGACGGCCCAAGAGGCGCCCAAGATGGCCCAAGAGGGCCCCAAGACGGGCCCAAGAGGGGGCCCAGAGGGGGACCACGAACCGCAAGCTCGAGCCTTCCGCCCCAAGAGGCCGCCAGGAGGCCCCCAGGAGGCTCCTCAAGAGGCCCCAGGAGACCCCAGACGTCCAAGGACGCCCCCAAGACGCCCCAAGAAGCCTCCAACATGCGTCCCAAGAGGGCCCCCAGACGCAAAAGTTGGCCCATTCCCTTTCGTAAAACGTACATGTTCAACAAAGTTGTCTTTTGGGCTTTCCGACGTTACAGGACGGCCCAAGAGGCGCCCAAGACCGCCCCAAGACGGCCCAAGAAGCTTCCAAGAGGGCCCCAGGACAGCCCAAGAGGGCCCCAAGACGGCCCAAGAGGCGCCCAAGATGGCCCAAGAGGGCCCCAAGACGGGCCCAAGAGGGGGCCCAGAGGGGGACCACGAACCGCAAGCTCGAGCCTTCCGCCCCAAGAGGCCGCCAGGAGGCCCCCAGGAGGCCCCTCAAGAGGCCCCAGGAGACCCCAGACGTCCAAGGACGCCCCCACGACGCTTCGCGTCACCAATTTCTTCTCACAACGATTCCTGGGTCTGTGACTCGACAGAACCTAAGCGCGCGCGAAGCGCGCGCGTGGTTCTAGTACACATATATATATATATATATACACATTGCTCCAGAATGCGCCTTTCTTGCATCCCACAGCTTGCACCCCATAAGTTGCACCCTGCAGCTTGCATCCCCCAGCTTCTGCCACACATGCTGCACCCCAGACGGCGCAGCACTTCGATTGCACCAGATTGCTTACATCACCTGTATTCCGCCTGATTGTGCCCCATCGATTGTACCACATAGCTTGCATTCCGTAGCCTGCACAACACACACACACATATATATATATATATATATGACAGAGCGTGTTCTACCGCTGCTGGCGGAAAACCGGGGTGGGGGTCACTACCGGTTCGAACCCCCCCCCCCTCCGGAAAACCGGGGGGGGGTCACTACCAGTTCGACCCCCCCCCAGTCCATCATGACATCATGAAAGGGGGGGTCACTACCGGTTCGAACCCCCCCCCCTCGAAAACCGTGGGGGGTCACTACCGGTTCGAACCCCCCCCTCACCCCCCCCCTTCGAAAAGGGGGGGGCGGACAGTGGTGGGGACGGTGGTGGTGGGGACAGTGGCGAGGGGACAGTGGGACAGTGGTGGGGACGGTAGTGGTGGGGACGTGGTTAAGGCGGGCGGTGGTGAGGACTGAGGACTGTGGTGGGACAGTAGCACGGCGGGGAAAGTGGTGGGGACAGTGGAGTGGGGACAGTGGGACAGTGATGGGGACAGTGGGGACGCTGGGACAGCACAGTGGGACAGCGGCAGTGACAGTGGGACAGTAGTGGGTACAGCGGGGACAGTGGGACAGTGGTGGGGACCGTGGGGAAAGTTGGGAGAGTGGGACCGTGGTGAGACAATGGTGGGGAGAGTGGGGACATTGACACACTGGTGGGGGCACTGGTGGGGACAGCGGGGACAAGGTGGGAACAGGGGGGACAGTTGGACAGAGGTGGGGACGGTGGTGGTGGGGACAGTGGTGTGGGGACAATAGGAATGTGGTGGAAACAGTGGGACAGTGGAGGGTACAGTGGTGGTGGGGACAGTGGGGAGGGCGTTGGCCAGGACGGCGGTGGGACAATGGGACAGAGGTACAGTGGGGACAGTGGTGGGGACAGTGGGGACAGTGGTGGGGACAGTGGGACAGCTCAGTGGGACAGCGGAGGAGACAGTGGGACAGTGGGGACAGTGGGGATAGTCGGGCAGTGGTTGGGGCCGTGGAGAAAGTGGGGAGAGTGGAACCGTGGTGGGAACACTGGTGGGGAACCGGTAGTGACCTTCCTCTGGTTTGGTTCTGGTAGTGACCCCCCCGGGGAGGGGGGGGGGTTCGACCGGTAGTGACCCCCCCCGGTTTTTTGGAGGGGAGGGGGGGGGGGGGTAGGGGAGGGGGGGGGGTTTGCCGGGGGAAGGGGGGGGGGTCCAGCAGGGGGGGGGGATTTTCGGAGGGGGGGGGACCCCCGGATTCCGAAGGAAGAGGGTGGGGGTTCCACAGTAAAGCGGATCACGCCCTCTATAGGTGTTATATATATATATATATATATATATATATATATATATATCCGTAAGGGCTTCGCCCCCTGCCGCCGGCCCCCTCTCTCGGAGAATGGGCCATGGAAGAGCTAAGTCATGAGGCCTTGGCGCTGTTGTGAAGCAGCATCGAAACTTCATGCGAAGCCGAACGCAATCAGCAAAACCAACTGATCACAAAAGGGGTTACCACATCTGGCGATTGGTAAGACGTGTATGGTGTACGGGCTTGGTTACCACACCTTGCGATTAAAGGGCCGAGGGAGTTCTCGCAGTTTGGGTTACCACGCCTTGCGATGGATGTGCGTGATGGGTTCGAATTTCAGAAATGTGGCAAATCTCCTGTGTTTTTGGACCCTGACCCCGCGGATCTGCGTGAGGGGTGGCACCGAATTTCAGAAATGTGGCAAATCCCATGTGTTTTTGGACCCTGACCCCGCGGATCTGCGTGAGGGGTGGCACCGAATTTCAGAAATGTGGCAAATCCCTTGTGTTTTTGGACCCTGACCCCGCGGATCTGCGTGAGGGGTGGCACCGAATTTCAGAAATGTGGCAAATCCCTGTGTTTTTGGACCCTGACCCCGCGGATCTGCGTGAGGGGTGTCGATTTCGAGCCCCCCCAGCAATTCAGACAACGCGCCCAGGGGACGCTAAAAATCCCGTTTGGGCCTCCCCCCCCCTCGCGCGGTCAATCAACTAGTTACAGTAACCAGCAAGAAGTCAACTAGTTACAGTAACCAGCAAGAAGCAGAACTGTAACACTGGAAACTACAAGCTACAACTGGTACTGGAAACTGCGAACAAGGGGGCCGGCGGATAAATATATATATATATATACATATATATATATATGTATCATCTCATCGGTTTTATTTGCATCACACATGTTGCAATATGCACACTGCACAGCATATACAGCTCATTGAAGATGTTTCACCACATAGTCATATACAGACTTGCATGTAGAACAGATCGCAGCCATGTACACATTCGCATGAGCATATGCGTGTATGTACGTGGTGCTCGTGCATAATTTCATCGATACGCAGGTACTGCAACCATAGGAAGTGCACATCGCGAGTGAACTAACCCGCCGTTTCGGGCCCACGCTGGCAACACGTGTGCCTCACACTCGGTGTTCGCAATCTTGTTGCAGCCAGTGTGCTTGAAAGAGCTTGCCTTTGCTTCCCACGGCAGCGCCATGCCGAGCTGCATTCCCCTCAGCTCCCCCCACATCTAACCTGCCCTTGCCCAGCCCATGCCCCCCCAGAGAAGGGGGAAACGTCAGCACACAGGCTGCGCCACGCGGGGCGTGTCGAGAGGGGCCCGCGGCGAGCGCCGGCGAGGGCCTCGCCGGTCTCTGCTGCCCCCGCTGCGGCGAGGCCTCTGGTGGCCGTCTTCATCACGATGGTCTCCGCCGAGGTCCTGCCGCCGTGCCGCCGCCCCCGCCCCGTGGTGCCTCGGCTCGCGGCGCCCTGCGCTGCTGGCTGCTGCTGCTGCTGCTGCTGTGGGGCACGTCGCGGGGGTCGGGAGGAGGACGAGAGGCGCGCCGCGGAGCGGCCGCGGAGGGCCTCTCTGCCGCGGAGATTTCGGGCACCCCAGGCTGCCCCAGACCGAGGTCGCTCGCCGCAGGCGGTTCAACGGCGGTGCAGGCAACGGCGATGCAGGCAACGGCGCTGCAGTCTTCGGCGTTGTGGGAGCGCGCGGCTCGCGCCTCTGTACAGTTCGCCGTGTCGTGCTCGCTCGATCCACTCGCAGAGGGGAGAGGTGGGAAGGTATGGTTCGTGATTTCCCGCACGTTGGTTCCCAGCATCACCTTCAGGCAACATCGCCGTTAGCCCGGCCTTGGGCTCAGGACAAGTCGTTGCCAACACGGGAGAGGAGGAGGAGGAGGAGGAGGAGGAGGAGGAGGAGGAGGAGGAGGAGGAGGAGGAGGAGGAGGAGGAGGAGAGGAGGAGGAGAGGAGGAGGAGGAGGAGGAGGAGGAGGAGGAGGAGGAGGAGGAGGAGGAGGAGGAGGAGGAGGAGGACGAGGAGGACGAGGAGGAGATGGAAGAGACAGGCCTCGGCCAGGCGGGCGACGGCAAGAGCCGTCCGCGCCGGCCTCGGGGCTCTGTCGAGAGCTCCGCGCGAAGCGCATCGCTGGGGCCCCGTCCCGGGCAGGCCTAGGAGAAGCGAAGGCGTGGCCGTTGGCCAGGTTGCAGGACGGAGCTATTTTCGGGGAAGCGTAAGACCCGGGTTTGCCAGGACTCGGGTTCGCCATCGTTTTTTGACGACCGCGACTCGGATTTTGACGAGGAGGAGTTTTGTGGGATGTCTGCAGCGGGAGGCCTCGTCAAAATGCAGGCTCGGCCTCGTCGTTTTTTTGACGACCTCGTCGGGGATTTCCGAGTCCCCCGTACCCGGGTCTTACGTCTCCCCGATATTTGAACGACCCCTGCCCAAGTTCGCTGGTGTCGGAGGCGGCCAAGGGGGGCGGCGATGGCCAGGGGGAGGTGGACATCATGGTGGGGGCCACGCTGTCTCTTCCGGTCTCATGGCGCCTCGTCTTATCTCATTACGTCCCCGCCCCCCACCCCCCAAAGGGCCGCGCACACACCGTTGGCCGTGATTTGCGCGCCCCCCCCCTCTTGGACGCCCCCCTCTTGGTCGCCCCGACCGCTGGCCGGGTTGCAAGACGGAGCTGTCTGGACGACCCCTGTCCAAGTTCGCTTGTGGGGTGCGATTCGCCGATTCTCTCTGAGCCTCATGGGCACCCACCGCTGCGAGGCCCGAGGGATCCAAGTCGCGCCAGTCGGGCTCATGGTGGAGAATTGTTCGCAGACCCGCGCCGAGCTCATACGCGCTCACTGCTGCAAAAAACCAGTGAGGGATCCATATGCCGCCCTGCCCCCTCAGATCATTTGCGGGGGCAGTTCTCAAGCAGCCTATGGGCAAGGTTGGGCCTGCCTCCTGAATTCAGTAGGGGAGGCGTGGCGTACACTTGATTCTTCGTCATACAGATACGGTTGTGTTTTTGCATTGCTTGAGTTTGTCTTGACGCCCGTCCTGATTTCTGTCTTCTGTCTTTCATCATCGTGCTTGATATCCGGATCGATGCCGACACTCTTCCAGACACGTATGGCCCGATTGGTTGGCCACTTGCCACGGACGCGCGTCCAGGCCCCTCGAAGCATTGGTCTCGTCGCGCCTCTTCCAGAGCCGCCTGGAACTTGGAGCCGTGCCCTTCGAGGCCGAGGCCAGCTCTGCAGGCGGAGCCGTGGGCCTCGGAGCGCCAGCAGTCCTCGCGGGCCCGGTCACTGCCCGCCTTCAGGATACAGCTCCCGGGAGGCGATGCGCAGCATCGGCGCTGGCATGTCCGCGGCCCCTGCTAGGCATCCTCCCGCGCGCTTAATCAAGGGCGCCCTCGAGGGCGCGAAGTTATTCGCGCTTCGCGCTTCGCGGTTCGGCTCCGATTCCCCCTCATCCTCCTCTCTTCTCCTGGGAGGCGGCGCGAGAGCGCGAAGTTATTCGCACTTCGCACTTCGCGCAGCGCGAAGCGCGAAGTTGGGAGCCCTTGTTAATCCAGCTCCATCGGGCTCAATCTCGGGTTTAACCTGGGCTGCTCCGACCAAGTGGCCTCAGCCGTCTCTGCGAGGGCCTCCCAGGAGTTGCCTCCGAACGTGGCATCGCTCGGACGTGTGCACGTTTCTCGGCGAGGGCCCTCGAGGGGCGTATTGGGCCATCTCACGAGCAGTCAGAGGCAGCAGCCAGAAATGCGGATTCCCCGCTGCAGCGTCCCGGCAGAGATCCGCGGGCAACGCGTTCTCTTCGTCTTCCTGATCGGCCTCCTCATTGCGGGCAATGTTTATATCCACATCCAGTGCGTCTTGAAGTTTAGGACTCTCTTCCCAAGAAACATGAGGCGCACTGGATATGGATTATAATCTGCCTCCCAAAGGCTAGATTCTTATCCATATCCAGTGCGCCTCGGCCTTGCGGCGCCCCTTCAAGAAAGTCCAAGACGCACTGGATATGGATATAAATATTGCGCACACTCATCCTTCTCATCATCAAGGCCTTTCATCTTCCTGTCGTGCCAGCACCTGCTCCTGCAGCCCGCTGAAGCGCGACCACCCCCGCATCCCAATCCTCCTCGTCGTCGTCCTTCTCCTCCTGGCCATCCTGCCCATCCTCCCCCTCCCGCGCCCTCTCTCCCTCCCCTTCCTCTCCCTTCTCCTCTTCCTTATGTTCCTGCACCTCCTGCTCCTCGGGCGGTTGCGCCCGCGGGCGGGTTGAAACGTGTCGCTCGGTTGCGGTTGCGGTTGCGCCCGCGGGCGGGTTGAAATGTGTCGCTTGGTTGTTGTTGCGGTGGCGCCTTGCGGTTGCGGTTGCGCCCGCGGGCGGGTTGAAGTATGTCGCTCGGTTGCGGTTGCGGTTGCGCCCGCGGGAGGGTTGAACTGTGTCGCTTGGTTGCGGTTGCGGTTGCGCCCGCGTCTGGCTTGAATTCCCCTTTCCAGCTCAGCCAGTTCAGTGCAGTTCAGAGTTCCGTCGGCACGTCAGCAGGGGGCACGGGATTTCGCCCGGCTTCGCCGGGAAGAAACACATCTTCTCGCGTCGGCGGGCAGGCAGAGCTAGGGGGCCACAAGCGACCCCTACCCCCAGCCCCCACGATCTCTGAGGGGGAGGCTGGGGCTCACTTCGCTCGTGGCCTCCCGAATGAAGTGAACCCCACCCTCCCCCTCAGAAATCGTGGGGGCTAGGGGTAGGGTTCGCATGTGCCCCCCTAAGAGCATCTGCGCCGGCGGCCAGGCGGAGTGACTCGCACCGCGCCGGCGGGAGGGTCGGGCCGCTCCGGGGCACGGGCCCTCGCCGGGCAGAAGCGCACGAAGTGCAGCACGTGCACGGGGGATGGACGTCCCGAGCGATTGGCGAGCGAAGCGCTGCCGCAGGCCCCCCGCGGGAGTGCGGAGAGCAGCCGTCGCCTCGCGCCGCGTCGCGGTCTGGGGCCAGGGAGCTGTTCGCACGCCGCGGGGGTTGGCGGGAGAGCTCTCGAGAGAGCAGCCTCCCCCCCACTTCTCGCGACGCGCAGCTTGCATCGAAGAACATGTAACGAACAAGAACAGTTTTCAGAAGAAATAATGATTCGGACACCAGGGAAAAACCGAATCAGTGGATGGTTCGATGAGATCGATTGAGGTGAATCGTGAGATCGATCATGAGATCGATAATGAATCGTGGGATCGATCCAGAGATACATAAGGAGATCGACCGGGAACCGGGGAACCCGGAACCCCACCGAAATCGGCCCGTAACCAATAACCAGGAATTTGGGAACCCGGAGCCCGGAACCCAGCCGGCTTCGAAAATCGGCGGGATGTTTTCGCAAATTTTTCCATTTCCGCTAGGTTTCTTCAGTGCAAGCTTGATCATCATAATAGTAAGGATAAGAAGAATAAGTAGTAAGACACTCCCTGCTGGCGGTCTCGTATGTTCCCAGCGATGTTTCAGCCTCGAGATGCGTTCCAGCAGCAGGGCCTCGCCGAGAGCGTTCGGGGGTTTGCCAGGATCGTCCCGAACGGCCGAAGAGGGCCGAGTTATGATCCAGAAACCACCAGGTGGTCAAGTGTCGGAGGCACTGCGGCGTGCAGGCGGCGTGGAACCAGGGACCTGGCTGAACATACAGACCTGGGCCGAGGTCAGTGTTGCTCCCGACCGTTGGCCCTCGGCACAGGCCGCTGTGCCATTGGGGAGGTGGCACGGCATTCATCCTCATCGGACTGTGGCCCTGAGTCTCTGAAGCCTCATGAGCTCCATTTGTTTTTTTATTTGTACTTATTTGTTTATTTATATATATATATATATATAAGCACCAGGTGGTTAGATGATCGAAGAAGCACAAATTGCTTGAACATCAAAACTCGAGGCTCCGCGCGTATGTGTTGGATCCGCGCCGGGGCACCCGCCCTCTCTGGCGGCGCGTCGGGCGCCGCTCCTCTGGCGCGCTCCCCGCGCCAGCGAGGAGGCCCAGCGCCGATCTGCGACGTCTGGCGCGGACCTCCAGAAGATGTGGCTTCTTCGGGCTCGAGTGCGTTTTCGATTCCCCTTCCACGGATCGGCCGCTCGTGCAATTTCTTTTTCGCCTGCGGTTCTCGCGCGCGCAGAGCACGGGTGACCCAGAGCTCCCACGGCACGAAGGATTGCCCAAAAACCATGTTTTTTTTGCAATCCAGGGTTTTTTTGCAATCCTTCGGGTTTTTTTGCAATCCTTCGGATCGCGCCGCCTCAGGTGATCCTGCTGGCGCAGCGCGCGTGCGTGCTGGAGAGCCAGCAGTTCGAGCGCCTGGCCATGGTCGACGAGGC